AAAGAATATGTTGAAAGAAATTGTGATGATGATTGTCCATCCTGGGATATTCACGTTAAAACAATCTTAATTGTATCATCAGTAGATAAAGAAAATGTTGCTGATACTTTTGATAGTGTCCCAAAACAAGTGGGCCATTACCCACTTAGATAAGAATTTAGGACATTGATCATTTTCAGAAGAAAAAGACATTGTTAAATTTGTTATTAAAGATTTTGTTTTACTTTCCCCTGATGTGCTGATGACTCAAACATTGATGTGAACGATGTTGATGGTGGCAATGCAGATCAAGTCAAGCAACATCCCTATTGTATTAATCCCGAAAAAAACTTGCAATAATATTGTCTGAAATTCAATACATGCTTGAAAATGACATCAATGAACCAATAATGGTAACTGCAACTGTACAGGTATTTTAGTCCAAATGCTTGACAAAATTACAGGTTTTACACCGATTTCAGGCAAGTGAATTATGTCACACTCTGATTCCTTTCCTATTCCAAGTATAGATGATCTCATTGATTAAGTAGGAGATTTAAAATATGTCGCCAAGACAAACATATTATCTGGTTATTGGAAGGTTCCTCTGTCCGACAGCGCTAAACAAATCTCTGCTTTCTGCACTCAGCGTGGTGGAAATAAATATAACGTAATGGCGTTTGTAATGAAAAAAAACGCTCAGCTTACTATGTGCTAACTCGTGATTCCTGAGATGGAGACCTGCAGTGCCTACGTTGATGATGTTATTACTTACAGTCACGATATTTCTCATGTCATTTAAACCAATTAAGATCTTTTTTTTTTTAAAGAAATATTTGACAGTAAATTTTACTGTAAATTTTTAGGCATGTCTGATTTGTGTCATACACCTGTGGAATATTAAGGCCGCACAGTGTTCAATGTCATGTAAACCTTCTTCATGCCAAGATAAATGGTTTTACATCACTTCCTCCACCTACTACTTGTAACAGCACATGCGATTCACTGATTTCTTTCCCCCTTACATATTTGCTAAAGAAAATTAAAATTTCAATCATGAGCGGCTTGCCAAGAAGCATCAGAGCGTGTTAAACTGTAATAGCTAATTTTCTCATTGCACCAGAATTTCATAAACATTTAAAGTAGCTTTAGATGCAATGATGTTGGCAGTGAAGCCGTTTTGAGAACATCACCATATCTGTTATTCTCTACTAAAGTTCATCACCATCAGAAGAATAACTCCAATATTGAAAAGAAAAGCCTAGAGTTAACTCTTTCTTTGCAACTATTTGATTTTTCTTTTCAGCCCATTGCATCAAATACGTGATTTTAACAACAACCCCTTAACACAGTGGTTCTCAATCTTCCTAATGCCACGACCCTTTAAACACGGTCCATCATGTTGTGACGACACCCAATCACAAAATTATTATCCTTGCTGCTTTATAACTGTTGAGTATATGTGTTTTTCGATGGTCTTAGGCGACCCCTCTGAAAGGGTCATTCGACCCCCAAAGTTGCGACCCATAGGTTGAGAGCCGCTGCCTTAACAGCTTTGAATAAAATTGTTTCCAAAAACAAAACAAAACGAAAAAGAAACGAAATTTTTTTTTCCCGAATTTTTTATTTTAATGTACATTAAAATTACGTCACTGCATTTCTTTTAAGATTTTAGGCATTTATCGTGACAAATTTGAAATAAAATATCTTAAAAAAAAAAATATAACTTTAAAAAATATAATTAAAAAAAAAAAAAAAAAGTGATGATATCATGGCTTGTCTGTTGACCAAATTTTGTGTACACCTTAAACCTTGATATTCTACCATACCCCCCCCCCCCTCTCAACTTTCTTTTGATTATGACATAATTGATTATATATGTAACGCTCGATTGTATACCGCGCTACCTTGATTGGGGAAAAGGCTGTTTAAGTTCGAATGTGTTTTAATTTGTACTAAAGAATGCTGTAAGGCCATGCAATATCTAGAGTATATTTTGTGCAGGGCTCCACTCCATCCCCATGAATTAGCCGTCCGCTTTACCAGAAGGAAGATATTATTTTTGCAGCTTCAATTCTTCACGTGCTGCGCTCAAAGCTAAAATAGTTTTTATTTATGTATCACTGATTTTTGCATTGTTAAATAAATTTAATGGTATAATTAAATTGAATATTGCATTGTTAAAATCACTTGCTTTGGCACCGTCATCCTTAGTTTACTAATGTACAGTCCTTTTGTTAAGTATTATTAAACAGATGAGCCAAATCTTAAAACGTATTTAATTTAGTCGCAAAAACATTTAACGGGACTAAACAGACATATATATCTATATAACTTAGTCAACACGCTTGCTAAGACAACTTGTCAGCAGATTTTAATCAAAGCGCTAGTCAATAGATTCGTAACGACCTCTTTTGGCCAATATAATAATATCCAGTTCTCACCGGTTTCGACTTTTACTGTTCGTTGTTTTCAAGCGAAGATGACGGGGGGCCTTGACTTGCGTAGCAGCTTTAAATTAAGGGAGCGTTTCTTAATTCGTCAGCCCCAATCTCTATTTGTTCCTAGTCTTATCCAAGACGGACGGCTGGAAATAGACCAGGTTTTCTTGTGTAGCACTCTGCTTTTTTATACGTTCCACATTACAAGAGTTGTCGTAAATTTCTCTGTTTCAATAGCATTACACCTACGGCTTTTTCTTTTCCTTTCTTTGGCTGAGTTGCCATCCTAATACGTGTTGCGATCAAAAGATGATTTGCCATCCAAGTATGAGTTGCCATCCAAGAATGAGCTGCCCTCAAATGACGATTTGCCTTCCAAGATTAATGAGCCTCTACCACCCTAGTAGCTGATATGTTTCGGCTTTTTCTGGAGATCGCGCTCCAGTCCTCTGGCTTGGGAATGACTCGGCTTAGACCGCTCGACTGCCCAGTTTTCCCCTTTAATAATGTACATTAAAAAGCATAACTATACCTTGAGGATAATTTGTATACTATGCCCTTACTTCTTTAACGCAACATTTCCTTTAGAGTTTTCAGTCATCCGTAAAATGTTACACGAATCACCTTTGGTTTTAAATAGTTCTGAAAATGGACTTTCTCCCATTTAAGTATTCATACGAGACCTTGGGGTTCACCAAACGGGAAATACACTTTCAAACGAGAGTGGTTCTCATATAATAAAACGTAATGTGTCCATAAACAAATTCATGCTTTCTTACTTCTAAGGAAAAAAAAAGCATCTTACCTGTAGCTAATGTGCCCACTTTAATTTATGTTATCCTATGTTAAGTCTTACATGGCGTTAATGACAACCATATACATCAGATGGAATAAGGGGTTAACAGCATGTTAAACTGTGCAAAGGACAGCGTAAATCTAAATGACTTGTTACGAGTTATATAATTTTAACAAGGTCAGTGATTTTTGGTTGGCTCAAAAACACTATAAAAACCAATTCCACTTTATCCCACCGTTTACGCTCCTAAACTAGGAAGACTGCCTGCCTGATTAACTTAACGTTTTCCTCCAACAGGTCTGGACCAAAGTTAGTGGTCTTCATGGGGCATTCCCAGGTCTGACCACTTGCGGTTTAGGTCACTGAGAATGAAGAGAACTGGCCATTTAAATAACCTGATTGAAACGAAAACTTTATACGAGCACTACCATGGTAAGGCCCCCCCTCCCCCCCAAAAAAAATAAAATAAAAAAATTAAATAAATAAAGCATTCGGGAATCAAGCGGTTACTTTAGGAAGCCAAAAACTTCGTAAGCTTCAAGCACATGTTATAGAAACAAAGGCGAGCGTGTAAAAGTAGTTCAGCTCAAGAGAAACGAGCGCCTTTCGTAAGTGGTTGTCACTTGTGTCTGGTGTACAGGAGTGCCCTACTCGAATGAAGACCTATGACAAGTACTCGGTTGTTCAGCGTGTTAGCATCATACCGGATGTGAGGCTGTGCTGCTTAGCCTTTGGCCATATGTTTTTTTTTTAATGTCAGTCATAGGCTCATATTCTGTATTGGTCTAATGGTCAGGGGTTGAACCAATGATGGCAACTATGGGTGCTACAATTTATTTCCATTTATTATAGCACTCAGGTTTTAAGGGCAAACTCAGTGATGTCGATATTTAGACATTTTAAAGTTATCTCCCGTGTAACTACATGCAATTCAATAGAACAAAAAGACAAAAGGGCCCAACTCTATAGCTACACACATTTCAATAGAACAATATGAGAAATTGGTCTAACTCTGTAGCTACACAGATTTCAATAGAACAATATGAGAATTTGGTCCAACTCTGTAGCTACACAGATTTCAATAGAACAATATGAGAATTTGGTCCAACTCTGTAGCTACACACATTTCAATTGAACAATATGAGAAATTGGTCCAACTCTCTAGCTACATTTTATTCAATAGAACAATATGAGAAATTGGTCCAACTCTCTAGCTACATTTTATTCAATAGAACAATATGAGAAATTGGTCCAACTCTCTAGCTACATTTTATTCAATAGAACAATATGAGAAATTGGTCCAACTCTCTAGCTACATTTTATTCAATAGAACAATATGAGAAATTGGTCCAACTCTCTAGCTACATTTTATTCAATAGAACAATATGAGAAATTGGTCCAACTCTGTAGCTACATTTTATTCAATAGAACAATATGAGAAATTGGTCCAACTCTCTAGCTACATTTTATTCAATAGAACAATATGAGAAATTGGTCCAACTCTCTAGCTACATTTTATTCAATAGAACAATATGAGAAATTGGTCCAAATGAAAAAAAAAAGCAGCGCAGTCGAAATAAAAAAAAAACAACTTATTTAGACATCGTAACATTTGTATTCTTGCATGAGGAATGTTTTAACTTAATTTTTCACATTTTTTTTTTTTTTACTCTCAAAACCTGACGTCACTGGTTTTTCCCTTGAAACCTTCTTTGCTTTCTGTTTATAAATTTATTTACTATATACAATGGACAGAGAGGGCCTGTTAACTAATATTATTTTAATAAAGCTACAAAATCAACATTATAGAGATAGAAGAATTCCATATTCATTTTTTTTAATGTAACTTTCATTCAATAAGATAACTTATTGAAATGACACTAAAGTGTTAAAAAAAAAACAAAAAAAACAACAACTGAAAATTAAATTAGCCAATGAACACAAACATTGTGTGAGATTAAGACACATTAAAATTGTAGAGCGATGAAGCTTCAGCTTTTTTTAAAACATTATTTATATATTAAAAATATTTCTACTTAAAGTAAGAGTCATTTTTTTCCCCGGTTACAGAAATGTGCAATTACTTATTTTTTTTTCTTTAAACGGCGCCCTCAAAATTAAGGCAATGTACAGAAGTTCTCTCTTCAGCGAAACTTTTTTTTTAATGAGTGCCTGTAATGACAGCATTCGCAAAGACATCTATTGTAAAACATATGTAAATGCTGATCAGTGACTAGAGATCGCCATTGTGAATCTTTAAAGCGTCATTGGCTATTTGCACTTTGTTAAATTTCTTAAATTTCTTCGTCAGGTTTGTAGTAGGCTCCCTCCTCACTCAGCCAGACGTATTCTTTTGCAGCATCGCTTTGATACTCGTTTATAAAGTCAGGCCCGGTTAGGCTGCAACCTGGTGACGGGCTGATGAAAGTGCTGAGGAATGTTTTGGGGGGCTCGTAGTTCGCAACCAGCTCGACGTACACCCCGAGAGCTTCGCTGCTTACGTCTACGTGCGAATAGCATTCTGGAATGGTGATCAGAACATCTTGTGCAGCAGTCTTTTTGGGGAAAGACAACATTTCAGAACCATTGGATTCATTTGCGCTGTGCTTGTCGTGGGTTTGGGTTTCGTTGACCTGTGTGTTGATGACCTTTCTGTCTTTGACCTCTCTGTCGTTGACCTGTGAATCATTAATCAGTGTGTCGTTAACTTGTGTGTCGTTAACTTGTGTGTCGTTAACTTGTGTGTCGTGAACGTGTGGGTCGCTGACATGACTAGAAGTCAAACGGGTGTCTTCACCAGAGAGTATCGTCTCGTCTTTCGTTGGGTAACTTTGTTCATTTTCATTCGTTACGTCACCATGGCGCGTGTTGCTTTCTTGCGATAGATTTTCCGGCTGTGCTGGGGTGTTTATCGAAGTTTCTGACACTTGCGTAACGGGTTGTTTCGACGGAAATGGCGTGTAGGGATTCTCCTTCTTTGGCGGGCTGTCATCCCGACCTGCATCGACGAGGAGCAGTAGCTCCATCTGGATTGCTTTAAATGAAGGTCTCCTGTTGGGCTCCTTAGCCCAGCACATCATCATTAAGTTAAACCTGGAGAAATTTTAGAGAGACGTATAGTCACCTGGAGTAACAATAGAGAAACATATTATGAACCCGGAGTAAATAATAACTAGTAAAATATAGCCCAACATGGGGTAATTCTTTAATTTCTTCACTTCTCTGGATTTTTAACAAACAATACTTCATGAATGATCTCAACATTCATTCAACAATACAGAATTTTTTTTTTTTTTAAATCTGTTAAATGTTTCTTAAAAAGTATTTGATATCTTCATGCTCTTTTTAAAAGGAACAAACATATAGATCTGTAAAAATGGATATATTTTTCTTCTGCGAAATAAGTTATGCAATCGCATTTATCAACACAAAAATGACGTAACCGTCAAAGCAATAAAATAAACCCAGATGGGCAAAATGTCAAAGCGAGGGACAATCTCATAGATAGCATCATATTAAAAAAAACCCAGTGTCTTACAGTGATTCAGGACAGAAATAAGGCGGCGGGAGACGCCTATGCCGTAAGTAGTTGACGACATCCCAGCCATCCACTCCGGGGTACGGAGTCAGTCCCCTGGTCAACATCTCCCAAATGACCACGCCTAGAGACCACTTGAAGGCAAGGAACGAGAGGACAAAATACATTCATGATCTTTAACTCTAAAGGCTAACTTCACACCACATAGAGAAGATAATTGATGCTTTAATTATGTTTCCGTGTACAGTAGAGCGAAGCATTGAAACTTTGACAACTACAAACGTCACAATTACTTTAATTAGATGTCCCATTGTATTCAAATACACACAAAATAGAGAGTCTCTTTTGTAACTAGTAAACTTTGCAGCTATTCTTTAAACGAAGAAGTTAAATGGGTTCAGGAAATGGTGTCAGCAATGTGAGTTTTTGATATAGAAATAAAGTTGCTATTTATATAGAAGATGCGTTGAAAAGGATGTATTTAAAATTGGAGAGAGTTTGAAGAAGAATATATCAAAAAGAGACTGACAGGCATGGAAATGTATTGTTACTGGGCTGTGCTCGACTGGGAGTGGAAACACGCAATGAAGAATATTGTATATATTCATGAAGTCCATAGACGATATGTTGATCTCAAAATACAAACACAAGCGTTGCCTAAAACTATATATTATACAATACTACAAATAATTGTACACAACTATAACATATTATACAAAACTACAACAAATACAAAACAATAACATATATAAACTACAACATACCATACAAAACTACAACGTATTATTAAAAACTACAGTATATTACACAAGACAACAACAAATTACACAAAACTACAAGATATTATATAAACTACAACTAAAATATACACAACTACAACATATTATAAAACTGCAACAAATTACACAACTACATCATATTATATAAAACTACAAAATATTAGAAAACTACAACACATACAAGACTGCACCATTTTATAAGTAGCATTTATGCGCTGGTATAAAATAGTGTGTACACAGAAATCTATTCTGTCCTTCTCAGAGCTGCTGACTCAAAGGCATGCTTCCAAGTCTCTTAATTAAGTATTTGTAAAATGTTCACTTTTGAGTTTGTATTATTTTATGGTCTAATGTCTTTATCTATTTCTATGCACTGTCTAATTTCAGTGTCTATTTCCAGGCAATTTCTATTTCTGTGCAGTGACTCAACTTTTAAGAATCAAGTTCCAGTTCTCCCAATCTCTTCTACAATTCTTTCACTTCTCGTGCACTCTTTACAAAATCCGAATTTTAAAAAAAAAAAAAAAATAGTTGTTCTTACAACGTCCGATTTCGTTGTGTACGTCCCATCTTCTATACTCTCTAACGCCATCCACCGAATGGGGAGTATCTTCTTGTTGTCACTTGTGTAGTAGCCCTCAGGCAATTTCTATTTCTGTGCAGTGACTCAACTTTTAAGAATCAAGTTCCAATTCTCCCAATCCCTTCTACAATTCTTTCCCTTCTCGTGCCCTCTTTACAAAATCCGAATTTAAAAAAAAAAAAAAAAAATAGTTGTTCTTACAACGTCCGATTTCGTTGTGTACGTCCCATCTTCTATACTCTCTAACGCCATCCACCGAATGGGGAGTATCTTCTTGTTGTCACTTGTGTAGTAGCCCTTCTCATAGATATCACGGCACAGACCAAAGTCGGCGACCTTGACTCGGTACTCACCGTCGAGCCTGGAAGGAAAGAGAGACAACCGGTGTTTAAACACCTGCCTGTCATTTTCAGATTGACTTAAGCGAATAATTGTCACGCTGACTTAAACATTTGAGTTTCTTTGTTAATAAAATTTATTTCTATATAAAACATATAGCAATTTAAAAGGATAATACAGTAGAGAATACTTCCAGGCATGAATAAAAAACTGAGGGCATGGCATGTGAGAGCCTAAATAACGACATAAGGTAAGAGAATGGCGTGTGAGAGCCCCAACAATGACAAAAAAGTAAGAGAATGGCATATAGCAACCTAAATAACGACAAAATAGTAAGAGTGTGGCATGAGGGAGCCCCAACTACGACAAAAAAGTAAGAAAATGGCATATAGCAACCTAAATAACGACAAAATAGTAAGAGTGTGGCATGAGGGAGCCCCAACTACGACAAAAAAGTAAGAGAATGGCATATAGCAACCTAAATAACGACAAAATAGTAAGAGTGTGGCATGAGGGAGCCCCAACTACGACAAAAAAGTAAGAGAATGGCATATAGCAACCTAAATAACGACAAAATAGTAAGAGTGTGGCATGAGGGAGCCCCAACTACGACAAAAAAGTAAGAGAATGGCATATAGCAACCTAAATTGGCATGAGGGAGCCCCAACTACGACAAAAAAGTAAGAGAATGGCATATAGCAACCTAAAATAACGACAAAATAGTAAGAGTATGGCATGAGGGAGCCCCAACTACGACAAAAAAGTAAGAGAATGGCATATAGCAACCTAAAATAACGACAAAATAGTAAGAGTATGGCATGAGGGAGCCCCAACTACGACAAAAAAGTAAGAGAATGGCATATAGCAACCTAAAATAACGACAAAATAGTAAGAGTATGGCATGAGGGAGCCCCAACTACGACAAAAAAGTAAGAGAATGGCATATAGCAACCTAAAATAACGACAAAATAGTAAGAGTATGGCATGAGGGAGCCGCAATAACGAAAAAAAAGTAAGTAAGTGCAAGAATGTTACAGCCTTAAAAGCGGCTAAACAGTAAGAGCTCGTGACGTGAGAACCAGAATGGCGAGCAAAGACAGCCAAAAAGACGATCCAGGTGAAACTCTTCATCAGAGGGCAAAACCATGTTTTTTGGTTTTTTTTAAATGTGTGCTTACTATTCCTTTCTTGTTAGTTGTGATCTTAAAAATGGATTTCCTGGTAAAGATTTTCCCTCCATTTGATGTTAACTTAGGGCTTATTATGTCTGTACAAACATGTGATGTCAGTACAAACATTGATGTCAGTACAAACATGTGATGTCAGTTCAAACATGTGATGTCAGTACAAACATGTGATGTCAGTACAAACATGTGATGTCAGTACAAACATGTGATTCAGTACAAACATGTTGATGTCAGTCATACATGTGATGTCAGTCATATATGTGATGTCAGTCATACATGTGATGTCAGTAAAATCATGTGATGTCATTAAAATCATGTGATGTCAGTACAATCATGTGATATAAGTATAAACATGTGATTCAGTAAAATCATGTGATGTCAGTACAAACATGTGATTTCAGTACAAAAATGTGATGTTAGTTCAAACATGTGATGTCAGTACAAGCATGTGATGCACGTACAAACATTTTGGTCCACAAAGAACTAATGACTCAGACTCAAAATTCAAACTAATAAATTGTTGTTTACTTTTTTCAAAAAGTAATAACATTATCAAAAGATGAAATGAACAATTCATAAATAAATAACGAAATGTTAAAAATATTAGATAACTAAGCTGTACTTGCTTACATCCCCATCTATTGTCATCGTATTGAAATGACCATGACCTCGTTGATGGTAGGTTCTTTTAGCGATTACTAACTCAAATTGATTTTCAGCATCGGTTCAATATAACGAGGCTATACTCTAAAAATATCTATCTATCAACAACTCACATACAATTTCTTGCTGCCAAGTCTCTGTGGACAAACTTGAGTGAACTGAGGTAGGCCATACCGTAAGCTATGTCAGCCCCAAATCTAATGACGTCGTGGAGAGTGAGTCTCTGAAAGAACGATGTGACTCCTAAAGTGATCATTGGTGTAGATGCAGACAAGTCTTTTTAAAAGGTGTAACTTATTTTTTTTTAGATAGAACTTGCTTTAGCTTTAAAATAATTGTAGAATAAAGACCCAGTAAACAGTCTGATAGTCTGACCGAATCCGCTTCAGCTACTTCCTTTATTTACATAGTATTTCTTTTGAGTGTCATGTTGTTTGTAAACTGTTATTTTAGAGCTTTTTTTAGGGGGGGGGGGTAGGTGGGGGGATGAGAACATGTCACTTATTGTAAGCCCTGACTCTGACTCCACATCTAAAAATCATATGCAAAGTTAAATTTTATTAGCGCCCAATGTATGGAAATAACGACAATGATCTTGCTCCTGATTTTAACAATTATTACTTGTACAAATTTTAAACTAATTTCTATTTGCTTTGCATTGTATTTCTTTAACCAAGGAATGATTGTGTAAGTATAACAATAAGTCGCTAGTAACGTATTTCTTTAACCAAGGAATGATTGTGTAAGTATAACAATAAGTCGTTAGAAATGTATGTCTTAAACCAAGGAATGTTTGTGTAAGTATAACAATAATTCGCTAGTAATGTATGTCTTTAACCAAAGAATGATTGTGTAAGTATAACAATAAGGCTCTAGTAATGTATGTCTTTAACCAAGGAATGATTGTGTAAGTATAACAATAAGTCGCTAGTAATGTATGTCTTTAACCAAGGAATGATTGTGTAAGTATAACAATAAGTCACTAGTAAAGTATGTCTTTAACCAAGGAATGATTGTGTAAGTATAACAATAAGTCGCTAGTAATGTATGTCTTTAACAAAGGAATGATTGTGTAAGTATAACAATAAGTCGCTAGTAATGTATGTCTTTAACCAAGGAATGATTGTGTAAGTATGACAATAAGTCGCTAGTAATGTATGTCTTTAACCAAGGAATGATTGTGTAAGTATAACAATAAGTCGCTAGTAATGTATGTCTTTTACCAAGGATTGGTAGGCACCGTATTACAATAAGTCGCCATTACAATATTTGTCTCTCCATTAATTGGTAGCCTACGTATGACAGTAAGTCGCCAGTAATGTATTTCTCTTACCAAAGATTGGTAGCTTACGTATGACAATAAGTTGCCAATACTGTATTTCTCTTACCAAGGATTGATTTCGTACGTAGGTCAATAGGTCACCATTCTCCAAGAAAGGTAAGATGACGAAAGGAATTCCAGGCTCTTGCTCTGTCAGTCCAATAAGACCCAGGACGTTTGGGTGTTGGAATTGTCGCATCATCACAGCCTCTTGGACAAAGTTCAGCAGGTCAAGTTTATGTGACATCGGGTCTGTCACAAGGACAATTTCAATATTACAATGTGTGTTATTGAAAAAAAAATTACTTATTTCTTAAAACCATCAGCCATCAATATTGTTTCATATGGAATGCTTAAAAAATTTGCAATTAAACATGCATGACGTGGTGGATGTCAAGGATTGGGAATCACTGCGGTTTGCGTGAACGCTTTTAGATCGTCAGTTGTGAGCAGAAGTTATGTTCTTGTGGCTAACTGCACAGTGTTTGAAAGGGAACTAACACACATGGGATTAGTGTATCAGGTGTAAGACAGCTGGGGTTCTTGTCTAGCAGTATTGAGACCACGTTACTTGCATAGATAATGTTTAGAGTTCACAGTTTTTGTATGTAGTAGATCAGTGGTCCGGGGTTGAATAGTCATTACATTATAGTATCTTGCAGTCAGTAAAAAAAAAGTATCTTTTACTCAGTATAGTATAGTATCTTGAACTCAGTACCGTATAGCATCTTGCAGTCAGTACAATATAGTATCTTGCAATCAGTACAGTATAGAATCTTGCAGTAGAATATATCATCTTGCAGTCAATACGGTATATTATATTGTAGTCATTACAGTAAACTAGTATATTACTGTCACTAAATCAACGTATCTTGCAGTCAGTACAAAATAGAATCTTGCGTTCAGCAAAGTATATTATCTTGAAGGCAGTACATTATGGTTTTTTGAAGGCAGTACAGTATAGTATCTTGAAGTCAGTACAGTATAGTATCTTGAAGGCAGCACAGTATAGTATCTTAAATTCAGCACAGTATAGCATCTTGAAGGCAGCACAGTTTTAGTATCTTGAAGGCAGCACAGTATAGTATCTTGAAGTCAGCACAGTATAGTATCTTGAAGTCAGCACATTATAGTATATTGAACGCAGCACAGAATAGTATCTTGAAGGCAGCACAGTATAGTATCTTGAAGGCAGCACAGTTTTAGTATCTTGAAGTCAGCACAGTATAGTATCTTGAAGGCAGCACAGTATATTATATTGAAGGCAGAACAGTATAGTATCTTCAAGCAGTACAGTATGGTATCTTGAAGTCAGCACAGTATAGTATCTTGAAGGCAGTACAGTATGGTATCTTGAAGGCTGTACAGTATAGTATCTTGAAGGCAGTGCAGTATAGTATTTCGAAGGCAGTACAGTATGGTTTCTTGAAGGCAATACAGAATAGTATCTTAAAGTCAGTACAGTATAGTATCTTTAAGTCGGTGCAAAATAGAATCTTGCGATCAGCACAGTATTGTATCTTGAAGTCAGCACAGTATAATATCTTGAAATTAGCACAGTATAGTATATTGAAGGCAGCACAGTATAATATATTGAAGGCAGTACAGTATGGAATCCTGAAGGCTGTACAGTATAGTATCTTGAAGTCAGTACAGTATAGTATCTTGAAGGCAGCACAGTTTAGTATTTTGAAGGCAACACAGTATAGTATCTTGAAGGCAGAACAGCATAGTATCTTGAAGTCAGCACAGTATAGTATCTTTAAGTCAGCGCAGTATAGTATCTTGAAGTCAGCATAGTATAGCATCTTGAAGGCAGCACAGTATAGTATCTTGAAGGCAGCACAGTATAGTATCTTTAAGTCAGCACATTATAGTATCTTGAAGGCAGCACAGTATAGTATCTTGAAGTCAGCACAGTATAGTATCTTGAAGTCAGCATAGTATAGTATATTGAAGGCAGCACACTATAGTATCTTGAAGTCAGCACAGTATAGTATCTTGAAGGCAGCACAGCATAGTATATTGAAGTCAGCACAGTATAGTATCTTGAAGGCAGAACAGCATAATATCTTGAAGTCAGCACAGTATAGTATCTTAAAGTCAGTACAGTATAGTAATCTTCCAATAAATTTGAAAGAATGTAAAGGAAACATATGTTGCCATAAAACGCTGCAAGTCTAAATATGGGTTGTGTGGTGTGAACATGACATGTGTCTGTATGTGGTTGGGGGGGGGGGAGGTAGCGGAATAAGTTTTAGATGCACTTGTTAATATTTTGGAATCATCTGGTTCCCAAGGGGTAAATTGGCTTATGCGTATTGTTAAAGATATTTCCCATTCCTAGGCAAGTCTCTAAAGAGATTCAACTCCATTTTGACTGCTACGATGATGAATCGGCTAATACATGCCATCAGTTTGTTAACACAGCCATTACAGTCAATGTGAGGTGATAAAGGAAAAATAATGTAGGTTCGTTGTGTACACGTCCTTACCTTGCAACATCTTAACTGCCACTTTCTCGGCTGGTAACTCAGGGCTAATCTCTAAAAGGCCATCGAAGACAGTTCCAAAATTACCTGAGAAGTGAAAGAACTCGTTTTGATTTGAAATGCATTCAGAATCGTACCTGAAAGTCTTTATGAATGCTGCCATGCGTTCATTTTTATTTGAAATAGTATGTATGAAAGATATCTGCAGCGATATATGATACAATTAGGAAAGACTGATATCTGCAGTGTTATATGAGACATTTTGGAATGACTTATATCTGCCGTGATATATGAGACATTTAGGAATGACTTACATATACAGTGATATGTGATACAATTAGGAAAGACTGATATCTGCAGCGTTATATGAGACCTTTAGGAATGACTTATATCTACCGTGATATATGAGACATTTAGGAATGACTTACATATACAGTGATATGTGATACAATTAGGAAAGAATTACATCTGCAGTGATATATGATGAAATTTTGAAAGACTTATATCTTGTGCGATGTACGATACAATTTGGAAAGACTTATATCTGCAGTGTTACATCAGACAATTTTTTGAAAGACTCATATATTGAATGTGCAATACCCCCCAAATGAGATCTAAACAATATGGCCGACTTACCATTGGTTATGGCCTTTATGATCATATTTGGGGTTTGAAATCTAGGCGCATAAAGCTAAACAATAATTTATAACTATAATGAAACAAATCCTTTGAGACTTTGAATCACCGTGTTTCATATTTCTAAGAAAAGTGTTACAAAATGAAACATTTATTAAAATTAAAATAAGATTTGTAAAGAAAGTCCTAATGTTGACTATCTCATTCCTAAACAAAGTTTCGGGAGGGGGGGTGGGGGATATGCCGAATCCTATTAGCAATGCTTGAATTTTTAGCCGACATAGGCATTATCATTTAAAAACTATACTAAAAATCTACCTGATCCAATACATTTTCCAAGGGTCAGTTTGTCAAAATCAAAGATCAGTTTTCTCATCTCCTCCTGTCTACTCTTGTCCACGTCAACAGATTCCAGTATTTGCTGTAAGGTTGGCATGGCAGCCTCACCTAAACCTGTCTCAGATACAATTATATTGTTTTTAGTGAGCTTGGTGAAATTACACAGTTTGTCTCCGGGTATGTATATATAATATATATATATTTAATAAAATTCCCAGAAGGTTGCACTATTTTGGATTCTTATATACTTCCTTACTTGAGTGCATATTTGTTAAATCACGCATTTCCCCCGTCATTGTTTTGTGGGGGTAATTTGTAGTATAAAATAATAATACAACTTAATTTCTACAAAACGTTCGATGTTACCATCTTTTCTTCGGCTCGTCTAATAGATGATAAGATGATAAGATGATCGATCGTCTGTCGAAAGTTTACCATTGTCCTTTTTCAACATCCGCCTTTTGCCGGCGCTGAGTCTGTCGGTGGGTGCGTAGATGGCTGATCGGGCCAATTATGGCATGATAAGTTCTGGCGCAGAAGGTGCAGGGGATGTATGGGGGGGGGGACGCCAGGTGCAGAGTTAACTCGGGCTTTTCTGTCTTGTCTTTTGTAAAGATTATGAGATGGATATATTGTCAAAGTCATGGAGGAAAACGCCCTTGGGGTGACCTTGAGTGAATATCCTGTGTTTGACAAAAAGCTCTCTTAATCGCACCGCAAACATTTGATTATGACGTTCCAACCGAGTTTAACCCACGAACCAGTGGAGCGACGCAGTAAAACATCAACAAGCATGGCCGTGCACTATATATTCATGCGCGCAGTTAGTGTCTGTTGACAATGAGGTCCAATAAATAACATAATTCTGAGGTTAGCATAAGACTTAAAGATGTCACCTTATTTAATAAGCCGGTAGAGTTGAAACGGGAACAGAATTTTGATAATATCATACTTTAAAAGACAAAAAAAATAATCTTTTGAACAGAATGCGTTGAGATTTTTATTAAGAGAATATTAACAAGACAAGAATAATTAAAAAAAAAAAAAATAAATAAAAAGAGCTACTATATATAATTTTTTTAAAGATTTCACCTTATTTAATAAGCCGGTAGAGTTGAAACAGGAACAGAATTTTGATAAAATCATACTTTAAAAGACAAAAAAAATAATCTTTTGAACAGAATGCGTTGAGATTTTTATTAAGAGAATATTAACAAGACAAGAATAATTAAAAAAAAAAAAAATAAATAAAAAGAGCTACTCTATATAATTTTTTAGAGATTTTCAGCAAATATTTATCCCCACAATTTTAAGGCCATTTCCGGCATTGCTTGGGGTCAAAGGTAAGTGTTGAAGTAATAAGTGACATCACCCTGTATATAATTAAATAGTGTATTTGTAATGTAGATAATTCCGAAACAATGGATATTTGTACACCCCCCCCCCACCTTTTTTTTCCCTAATAAATAAGGACCTGGAAAAGATTCCACTTATTGAGAAAGCTGAGGTCGTTCGTTCAGCGTGATTCCAGTAAATTTTTTTTTTTAAAAAAGGAATAACAGCAACACCCGAATTGTCTAAACTAAACTGAGCAAATCTCAAGTTGGTGGTCTGGAGTTCAATTCCAGCCAAAGCCCAGTCGAGCACCCCCGGATGGATGGGACTCGTTAGCCTTGGAAGGCAACTCCTCTAAGAGAAAGCTAACCCTGAATTCAAACCAGGGGCCAAGATGATCAAGAAATTGATCGTGGGCCCCTCACATATGGAAAAACAAACAAACAAAAATAAATAATTAAGATGACATGTGCTATTGGAAAAGTGTTGTTACTTAAGCAGATTTACTTGGTGACGTCTGATTTTTTTTTTCTCCAGAATAGTTAGTGTTCTTAGCTCACAAAACTACTCCTATTTTAGCAAATAAATTTAATGATTATTTTTTTCTATTGACGTAATACATACGAAATTCCTCAGCTTTTAAAAAGATACGCATTTGTAATTGGTATTTTTTTCAATGGCTACTGTTCCTGAGTTGCAAACACAAACTTTTGGACGGTAAAAGTGAAAATGTGCACCATGTAGATTAATGTTAATTAGCTTCTTGAAGCTTAGCGGGCAAGCTTTTATAATAATATAATAAAATGTTTAGTGCAAGTAAGCTAATTAAACACAACCATGACAGTTACCTGTAGAAATGAGAGATAGTCTAATGCAAGTAAGCTAATTAAACACAACCATGACAGTTAGCTGTAGAAATGAGAGATAGTCTAATGCAAGTAAGCTATCTAAACACAACCATGACAGTTACCTGTAGAAATGAGAGATAGTCTATTGCAAGTAAGGTAATTAAACACAACCATGACAGTTACCTGTAGAAATGAGTGATAGTCTAAAGCAGGTAAGCTATCTAAACACAACTATGACAGTTACATGTAGAAATGAGAGATAGTCTAATGCAAGTAAGCTATCTAAACACAACCATGACAGTTACATGTAGAAATGAGAGATAGTCTAATGCAGGTAAGCTATCTAAACACAACCATGACAGTTACCTGTAGAAATGAGAGATAGTCTAATGCAAGTAAGCTATCTAAACACAACCATGACAGTTACATGTAGAAATGAGAGATAGCCTAATGCAAGTAAGGTATCTAAACACAACCATGACAGTTACCTGAAGAAATGAGATATAGTCTAGTGGAACTAAGCTAAATAAACACAACCATGACAGTCACCTGAAGAAATGAGATCCACGCCTGGTCCACCGATAGTTTGACATTTCTTCAATTTTTCCCTTTTCAGCCGCGTGAGCAGAACAACTGTTAGAACTAATAGAGACACTATGACGATGGCCACCAGGCACGTGCCAACCATGGCCATCGTCTTGACAGTTTCAGACAGGGGATCCAGCGATATCGTCACGTGACCGAGTTCTGTCACTTGGTTGCCTATCTGTAATGTCACGGCACACTGAAGGTCTCGTTCATCGGGCCGAAGACGGCTGCATCCATCGAGTGCATTGCCGTCGGAGCTTGCGTTGCTCCCTGTATCATTCTTTGGCTGCCGGTCCAAATCAGCTTGTTTCTTCTGGAGACTACCAATGGCGTTTCCGGCGTCACACTTCAGACTACTCTCTGTCAACATAACTATACGACACACCTGGTTACCCACTTTTACAGTTATGTCCTCACGATTGAACATAGTTAGATTCGGCACCTGTTGATATGGATATTTAAATGACATTTACTTTGTATTGAAACGTTTACAAATGACGTCGATAAAATAGTTTCTATTTTCTCATCACTGCACATAATAAAATAATAATACTAAACGAGGTTAAATGTCAGCTAAAAATTATAATTATTAGCAATTCCCCGTATCCATAATTTTGTATTAAGATGTAGCAAATAACGTAAACAATTTATCCAGTAGGTTCATTACCGAAAAAACAAGTATGGGGTCGTTTAGGGATAGTTTAGTTTTTTGTACTGTATCATTGTCAAATTTCGGACTTCGATAAATCTTCAGTTTGAGCTTGCGCAATGACTCGTTGATATTGAAATAATTATTGTCCATCTCTATTGCCAGCTCCGCATCCAGATAATCGCCTGATACATTGGCCTTAAAGTATTCCTCTGTGATGTTGTAAAGGTCAGAGATCACACACGTCATACTTTCGTTTCTGTTTCCTGGAAAGCACCCGCCGCTCAGACTCTGTGGACGTTATTGTTAGATTTGAGTAAATGACAAGAAATAGTTTATAAATAGACACAATACATTCAAATAAACCATTGGATATCAATATCCTCTCGCATCAAATACAAGTCTGCCAATCTTTGCTTCAACTCGTTCACTGACCCTCACTTTCCTGTCTATCTCTCTGAACTGTTGCTTCCTTACATCCCCACAAGACAACTACGTTCTTCCATTGACAGTAGAACCCTCTCAATCCCAAGAACTAAAACTAAGACCATCGGTGAACGCTCCTTCTGCTTCCATGGGCCCACGTTCTGGAACCAGCTCCCCTTCCATATACGTCATAGTGAAACCTCGTCCATTTTCAAAAAGTCCCTTAAAACTCATCTGTTTAGGTCCGCCTATGACCTGTGATGCACCCTCCTTGCCCTACCTCATTTTCTGTTTCGGGTTGATCCTGAAGTGTCAAAGTGTCCTCGTTTTATAGCCATTTTCATTGTTTCTATAGTATAGTAGTTACTATCCTAGTGTCTCATTTTTATTTACTTAGTTTACATGTTTTAATAATTGTAAAGCGCTTAGAGCTTTATGATAAGCGCTATATAAAAATGCCTAAATAAATAAATATCAATCAGCGTATCGCTGATAATGTCTCGTGTCCCTAGATTTTGATTTGAAATCTAAAAATGTTTGTAAATCGTTTGGGTTTTTTTAAAGCCTTCCTAGCCTCACGTTACTCAAAATTAGATGGCAAGTGTAATAATTTATGATCTAATCCAGGGTTCACCAAATTTTGTTCACAGCTGGCCGGATAACTGACAAAATGGTGAGCGTGGGCCGCTTAATCATCTTGTACAATACTTGCAAGCCAGAAGGAAAGCTCTGGGGGTAAATGGCGAAAAACTAAGTTTTGGTATTCCATGTAAATCATGGTTGATAACCATGGTAACGTCAGAGCGTAGCCGGAGCTACCACGAGCCCGTGTATGGCTTGGGATTGGGCGATATAAGCAAACATTACTATTCAATAATAGATACAAGAAAATCTAGATACAATACTTTAAACTTGAAAATGGTAAATTAAGGCGTATAGCTTCCAGGATTTCTCCGCACATGTGAAGATGTCCTAGCATTCTAAACATAATATTTAATTTTAAATTGTATCACAACGTCTCGTGTTCCATACGTTTTTATCCACCAAGTTCAAGTACCGTCGGCAGGCCTGGTGAACTGATGTCATGGGCCGTAGTTTGGTGACCCCTGATCTGATTTAATCTATTCGAGTGATAACAATTACATTTGACGTCATCAAAACCGAAAATATTATTTAGTGTGTGAAGTGTGAATCAATGATTTTTATTTTGTGTGCAATAATTTTGGTGTGTCGCTCTAATTTTGTTAACGAAGGTTGACAATCTACATTAAAAAAAATATGTTTCTGTTACCTTGATAAAATCTTCATACATTGGTCATTTAAAATCTTCAATGGTCATTTAAAAAAAAATTAATTAATAGCTATTCTTGAAACATATATTTACACATAAATTTATAAACATCAATGCAAATGAATGTGATGTATTTTGCGATATTTATTTTTCTTACTGTCACGCTGAATAGTATTATCATTATTACGTTTGCTTGGGACCAAATCGCAATCATGTTAACGGTCTGATTTGTTACCATTTACAATGTGAGCGGAATTGAAATTCAGTAGTAACTTATAGTTCATGGAACTTTTGTTTCCTTTTTTTCTCTCTTTTTATCAAGGAAATAACTTACGACATTGACAAGATAAAATGGAACATGTACATTGACAAAAAAAAGTTACTTTTTAAGAAAATGGATATTTAATTTGAGTTTCACTTACCAAAGATTTGTTTGTGATATGGTCATGGAAAGATATAACAATTTTCGACGATGCGACACTGTCAAAGTTTGATCCAGCAACTGTCACGTTTATGTCTTCGCTGTCACAAAAATGCACACAATATGTCCATCAATAATACATGTTTTAGAAGTTTTAACACATTATTAATAAAAATGACAATTCATTTTCTCCAGGCGAAATAGTTGTAGGGCCTTGAGTTGTTATCTACGTCTATTCTTTATGGCAATACTTTACTGTAGTTCTGTCCTTGTTTATAACCCACTTGATAAGGATTTTAGATATACAAACCTGTGAAGAATTGTGCCTACTTCAACTTGTGTAACAACAGGATTTGGTTTATAGCAGAAAGGCTGTAGCTGCACATTCTGTAGTACATCATTTAGGGTGATCAGAACCTTTACACATTCAGTCGTGGCATTGACGTGGCGACCAGCGATGCATGTTATCGTTTGGCTGGACAGAAATTCGTAAATAATACTCTACAATATTTATTGAGTTGAATTGATAATAATGCAGATTTATAATTATACATGACTTCGAAACCTAATATTTTTTAAATATGACTTCAAAACCTAAGATTATTTTAAAACATGACTTCAAAACCGTATATCTTTTTTAAACAAGACCTCAAAACCTGAGATTTTTTTAAACATGACTTCAAAACCTGAGATTTTTTTAACATCACTTTAAAACCATTTTTTAAAGTTCCTGCAGTAAAAAGTGAAAAAAAAAGTGCTGAAATCATTTACTTGATGTCTCGATTAAAAGGAACTGAGATTGATTTTTATTTTCAAAACCAACAAAACAAAAACAAACAAACAAACAAACAAGATGAGGTAAACAAATCAAGCGCTATGTAAACGCACGTTAAAATCACAATTTTTTTTTTTTAAAGTTCGTACAGTAAAAAAGTGTTGGAACAATTTACGTGATGTCTTTATTTAAGGGACCTGAGCCAGATTAAAAGATCAACAAGCAAAACGAACAAAACAAACAAACACGTTAAATTCAAAGTGGAACTCCATCACAACCCGTGCCCTTTATTTACCGTGACGTCTTTTACTGGACGCCACTGATTGCGTTGGTGCGAGAGTACATTTTATTTCTGGACTCAAACTGAATGTCGTCAAACGTTTAAAGAACACTTTCTTACTTATTTGTGAAGACGCCACTACAACTGCCATTGCCCAAGGTAATTTTGATACGAGTAGTGACGTTGAGATGTTGAGTTTTGAACGTCAATCTCGTGCCACCGGAAACAGGTCCAAAGAGCGGGGAAAATGAATCAATTTTAGTTTCCTTCAAAACAAAAAATAATAATAATAACAATATCATTAAAATAATAATAATAACAATATCATTAAAATAATAATAATAACAATATCATTAAAATAATAATAATAACAATATCATTAAAATAATAATAATAACAATATCATTAAAATAATAATAATAACAATATCATTAAAATAATAATAAAAATAACAATATCATTAAAATAATAATAATAACAATATCATTAAAATAATAATAATAACAATATCATTAAAATAATAATATGCTACATTGAAAAGTTCTGCACCAGTATCCACGAATATTAATTTCAGTTTTGAAATACATAGTAAATTAATAATTATTTGTTTCTCACCAACAGAAAAATTAACACAGTTTAACGCTAAACTAATTCAGATATTTAATAAATATGTTGTACATTCATTGATCATAAAACTCTCCCCCCACCCCCACTGATGAATACGTTTCAGTCAAGAAATAACCACATTGTCCCTCAAAGCGTCCTACAAGAGACAACCTAATTGTCAGTCATGGTGTCTTACAATAAACAACCTCATTGTCATTCATGGTGTCTTACAATAAACAACCTCATTGTCATTCATGGTGTCTTACAATAAACAGCCTCATTGTCATTCATGGTGTCTTACAATAAACAGCCTCATTGTCATTTCATGGGGTCTTACAATAAACAACCTCATTGTCATTCATGGTGTCTTACAATAAACAACATCATTGTCATTCATGGTGTCTTACAATAAACAGCCTCATTGTCATTCATGGTGTCTTACAATAAACAGCCTCATTGTCATTCATGTTGTCATAAAGACTAAACCTCATTTTCATTCATGATGTCCTAGAGACACAACCTCATTGTCATTCATTGTGTAGTACAAGACAAAATCTAACTGTACTTCATATATGTCATACAAGACATCGTGTAATCGAAATATGCAGTCGTGTCTTCAAGCAATATACTGTCTTGTGATGTTTCATGTGATAATATGTCTTGTGATGTGTCATGTGAAATGTCTTCCGATGTGTCTTTGTTCCTTTCTTCGTGTGGTTTAGTCGTCTAATTTTAGGCAGCAGTTATTTAAACGAATATATTATTTTGTTTCTGTAAAAAAAAGTATTGAATAGTTGTATTCGATTAATTATTTGCATTAAATCTGAATACTTAAAATTCGATTACAGTTAATATCGAAGTCACTTTGATGATCAGAGCTCCTTGGGAATAAATGTCACACTTTGATTCCATGAACTGAGGTGGTTGTTTAGCCTGAACTATTTCATAACTAAGTCAAAATGCGTTGCTTGGCTTTTATGCTTTACTTGACTGGCCACGTCGGCGGTGGAGGGATGCTCAAAGTCCAATAGATGAATCCTCAGCGGGGCTTCGCATCTTGCTTCTAATCACCAACGGTACGATAACAGCTCCGAGGGATCAGTGAATTGTCTCGTGTGACTCTCAATACGTTCGATTTTTTAATGGTAATCATGGGAAAGGCAGACCAGCGGAAAGTTCTAAAGTCACGCAGCAAAAATTCGTTTCTCTTTTATCCACTCAGGGCGTAACGCTTTTTTTTCTGTTCTTCCCATTTTAGGTAAAGCCTACTATTAACAAATTCAAGTACATGTTATGTCAAAAATGATTTTTTTTAAAGCTAAAGGAATTCTCCTCCTGTTGTCAAATTAAATCTTAAGAATTTCAAAATAGCCATGCGTCATAATAAAATGTTAATGATGAAATTGTGTGACTTATTTTAATGGATATTATAGGTCTACTCACGTGAGAGCCTTTAAGGGCGGGAGTTTTTGTCAGACCACCTTCATTCTCAACATTTGAGGCTGGCGCTACAATTGTAGTCCTGGCCATGAAATAAAAATAAAAGACATTGAATAAAAATCGTATTAAAAACTATTTCACGAATGCTAGAGTTTTTGTAAACACATAATAATCATTTTTAGAATGAATTTCTCAATTTTAAAGACTTCTAAAATGTGGGTTAAAATGTAAATAAGTTATAACAATTGACAATTTTATCCTTTTTTTAATTCTTTTTAACTCACTTTTCTTTGACAATAGAGTGGTCTGAATCATAACAGAACGGGTTTGTAGATATGTAGGAAAAGTTATCAACTTTCACTTGGGCACTAACACAAACGTTATGATTCACTGGTTTTGGTCCAGTTATACATTTAATCCTGTCTCTACTAAAGGAAAGAAAATGAAATTTGTATGAAAATCATCATATGATATTTAAAGTGTGTATGTGCATATTACAAAAAACGTACATGGTCACTTGGGACCTCATGTTGTGTTGCTCAATTATGTTGCATACAATTTGTGACAAAAATAATTCACCATTGAATTATTTTTGCCATTAATTTATATCAGAGTAGTAAAAGCATATTTAAACAAAAATCAATGAGGGAAATATCATGAGATTTAGAATTAGGTTTTTCAAATATTACAGTCAATTCAATTTGTGTAAATTTATTGTTGTTTTATTTCAATTACCCACATTTCTTACTTTAATAATTTAATAACATAAGTTATCTTACGAACAACTTCTTACCTTAACTCCGTGATGTTACAACTGCTACCACCTAAACGAACCTGAGTACTGCTTCCAACATCAAGATAACAACCTTTGAACTCGAGCAACGTCTCTCCAGAATCAGATCCATTACTTGGGGATCGCGATTCAATGCTTGGTGTCTGTAAATGATGGAGGGGAATGAAGAAACGTCAAAAATATCAGCTCAAAAGCGGCCCAGGCTCCCCAAACATTTTTTTTTTTTAAATATGGTACAGGTAGCCAATGCCCCCACAAAAGTGGCCTAGGCCGAAAAAGAACACTCCCAAAAATGTACCGTGGGCCTGTTTGCCTCTGGGTTAAGGTAACAATCTCGGTGTAGGTAACAATATCTATGTAGGTAACAATCTGGGTGTAGATAAATATCTTAATCTTGTTAACAATCTAGTAGTAGGTAAAAATTTTGTACTAGGTAAAAACTTAGCACTAGGTAACAATCTGGGTCTACGTAACAATCTAGTAGTAGGAAACAATCTAGTAGTAGTTAACAATCTGGATCTAGGTAACAATCTGGGACCAGGTAACAATCTGGGTGTAGGAAATAATCTGGGTCCATGGGCGCCCGCAGAAAATTTTCTAGGGGGGAGGGGGCAAAATATTTTTAATAATGTTTTAATGTAATTTTAATTTACTTTAGCGTATTTGTTTGGTGAACGAATAGACAGGACACTGTAGTAATGAAGGCCATACTGTAGCAAATCATTTTTTATTAACACAATATATGTATATAGCAAAAATATTACAACATAACTTTAAAATAAAATTTATTCTTTAAACAAGAACTGGCGTCGTCTGTTATCGTTACCAAACATATCTACAATTTTGTCCATAAAGTCTTTTTTGTTGTAGTTCACTTTGTCTCTGTGTACGGCTAACATGCACAACCCGGATAGACCTCCATCTGACATTGTAGATCTAAGCCATGTTTTTACACGACGCAATGTGCTGAACGATCGCTCTACAGTACATGTCGTTGCTGGTAATGTTAGCAAAACTAGTAAGGCATACCTGGCAGCCGGATAAAACTTTTTAAAAGGTATCAAGTCGATGAAAGCTTGACTACTTTTGTATTCTCGCGTTTTCTAAAAATCAAACCAACTCAAGGCTTCACTTTCCAAATTATCAATGTGGTATCAACTAAACCGTCAACAGTTTAAGGATACACTGTCTACTGTTTGCACAATTTTGAAGGATGTAGCAACACTAAGCTAAATTGTGCACTGCTGGCTTCACAAAATCGAGTCTCCCCTGAGCTAATTAGAGAATAAGTATGGAATGTAAAATGTTTGTCTGAAGTACTCTTCAACACTTATGTTTCCTGGATTACTTCGATGCTTTTGTCTTCCATACTGTCTTGGGATAATGAGTTCAATATCCACCGTCTGTGCGAGTTGTACTGTTTTCTCAAAAATATCCCTGAAATAGTTATCGGAATCACCTCGGTGAAGTTTTACTACACTGAGCAGGTTTTGAACTTGCAGTTGGACTTCTGGAAGATCAACTTGAACAGCTTGAAGAGCCTGAGTAACTGGTTCCAGTATGGCAGAGTACTGCGAAATAATATTGACACAAAATAAAAACGTGCTGGACTTTGATGAACAATATAACTGATGTGCAGCCTGTCGTGTAGTTCCACTTGCATGCAATGAAAATTCTTCCAGTTGACAATAAATATCTTCAAATTTACTAGAAAAAATCCGAATACTTTTATACCTGCTTGTCCATCTTGTCTCACACAGAAGAGGAATATTTGGGACAGAGGACCTCCTTGTTGGGCTTTCACGAAAAAATTTAATAATTGGTTTGATAGTACCAATAGCATTTCGTATTTTTGCCTGAACACCATTTTCTTTTCCGGCCATTGTCGAGCACCCATCATAACCTTGACCTAGCAGATTATAAAGGAGAAGACCAAATGTTTTGCAATGTTGAATAATACAATCAGATATCGTGGCGGCGTCCATATCTTTCAGCGGAAAAAATCCAAGGAATTCCTCACGAATCATAGCCTTCTCACTTGACGTATCTACAAATCGGAATCCCAGTGACAACTCTTCTGTTTCTGAGATAGCTGCTGTTTAATCGGCTATGATCGAGAATCCAACAGCATTGTTGGCAGCTTTTACAATGTCTTCTCGCAGAGCTTGTTCAAACAAGTTGATCAAATCATTCTGCGTTCGGTGTGATGTGTAACGTGCATTTTCAACAGCTGTATCAAAATGTTTTTTTTTTTTAAATACTGTCTCCTCCCTCAATTCGATACGCATAAAGCTGTTCGACATTTCCTTTGGTGCTATCTTCCCCACGAATTGCCAAATCATATGTTCCGCAAAATAATATTGTTGAAATAATAGGATACAGTTTCTTTTTGTTTTCTTCAATAGTTTGCTATACTGAATTATCCATCTGACAAATAATATCCTTATTTGGATCTAAAAAAAAATTTGGCTCACAACATACAGTGATACATAAAATAATTAATAATGAAAATATAAAAATAATTACCCAGTGAAACGAGATCAGCATCAGCTTAGTTACTTTCTCTTTATTTTCTCTTTACTTTAATACATTTTGTGTCTATTTTTGTCTAAAAATTTTTTTTTAATCAATCAGTGCAGGGGGGGGGGCAGTGCCCCCCCTAGGTAACAATCTGGGGTCTTGCTAATAATCTAGTAGTAGTTAAAAATCTAGTAGTAGGTAACAATCTAGTAGTAGATAACAATCAAGTAGTAGGTAACAATCTAGTATTAGGTAACAATCTAGTAGTAGGTAACAATCTAGTAGTAGGTAACAATCTAGTAGTAGTTAACAATCTAGTAGTAGGTAACAATTTGAATCTAGGTAAAAATTTAATAGTAGGTAAAAATTAAGTAGTACTAATTTAACAGTAGGTAACAATCTTGGTCTAGGTAACAATCTAGTAGTAGGTAACAATTTAGAAGTAGGTAAAAATTAAGAAGTAATTTTGAAAAGCTAGTAGTAGGTAACAATCTGGGTCTAGATAACAATCAGGGTGTAGGTAACAATCTGGGTTTAGGTAACATTTGGGTCTAGTTAACAATCTGGGTTTAGATAACAATCTGGGTTTAGATAACAATCCGGGTCTAGGTAACCATATAATAGTAGGAAACTATTTAGAAGTAGTTAACAATAAGGGTGTAGGTAACAATCTGATTGTAAGTGACAAAAATTTAGTAGTATGTAAAAATTTAGTAGTAGGTAACAATCTGGTTCAAGGTGAAAATGTGGGTTTATGTAACCTTCTACGCATAGGTAACAATCTGGTAGTAGGTAACAATCTGGTAGTAGGTAACAATCTGGTAGTAGGTAACAATCTGTTAGTAGGTAACAATCTGGTAGTAGGTAACAATCTGGTAGTAGGTAACAATCTGGTAGTAGGTAAAAATCTGGTAGTAGGTAACAATCTGGTAGTAGGTAACAATCTGGTAGTAGGTAACAATCTGTTAGTAGGTAACAATCTGTTAGTAGGTAACAATCTGGTAGTAGGTAACAATCTGGTAGTAGGTAACAATCTGTTAGTAGGTAACAATCTGGTAGTAGGTAACAATCTGGTAGTAGGTAACAATCTGGTAGTAGGTAACAATCTGGTAGTAGGTAACAATCTGGTAGTAGGTAACAATCTGGTAGTAGGTAACAATCTGGTAGTAGGTAACAATCTAGTAGTAGGTAATAATTAAGTAGTAGGTAACAATCTGGTAGTAGGTAACAATCTGGTAGCAGGTAACAATTAAGTAGTAGGTAACAATCTTGGCCTAGGTAACAATCTACGTCTAGGTAACAATCAGGGGGAAGTAACATTCTGGGTCTAGGTAACAATGTTATTGTAGGTAACAATGTAGTAGTAGTTAAAAATCTATTAGTAAGTAACAATGTTTTTCTAGATAACAATCTGGTTGTAGGTAAAAATCTAGGACTATGTAACAATCTGTTAGTATTAAACAATCTAGTGGTAGGTAACAATCTAGTAGTAGGTTACAATCTGGGTCAAGGTAACAATATAGTAGTAGGAAATGATCTAGTAGTAAGTAGCTATCTTGGTCTAGGTAACATCTGGGTCAAGGTAACAATCTGGGTGTAGGTAGCAATTTTGGTCTAGGTACAAATCAGTTAGTAGGTAACAATCTAGTAGTAGTCAACAATCTAATAGTAGGTAACATTCTGGGTCTAGATAACAATATGGGATTAAATAAAGATCTGGGAGTAGGTAACAATCCTGGATTAGGTAACAATCTCGGAGTAGGTAACAGTATTTGAGTAGGTAACAATCCTGGATTAGGTAACAATCTGTGAGTAGGATAACAATCTGGGAGTAGGGAAAAATTTGGGAGTAGGTAACAATTTTGATGTAGGTAACAATCGGGAGTAGGCAGTGGTGTCACCCGGCCGGTACGGTAAGCGCATGATGTCAACCCCCCCCTCCCTTTTTCGACTTACAAGATGGTTTTATCTTCTTAAAGATATTTTCATAGTGTAAAAATAATAACAACAAAATAGAAATTGTTGAAGGTCAGGAGGTGAATGTATTTAAGAACTTTAAAACAGTATTTCTGGCTTTCCATAAATTGAAAATTTTTAAAATATTATTTTGTTAACATTTTAAATAGGTAAAAAAGTCATATTTGAAAGTTTTTTATTTTTTAGCGATCCGATTCGTGTAGTTAGAATCGTCCAAGCATATCTTTTTTGGGTATCAATAGAAACTTTCATTTCTCCGAATTTAGATAAATATAGCTTCCTGTCACTTACGAAAGTTACCGGGAAACCTCAGTCGGTGTTGAATCTTTGTCAAAACGGTGGTGTGCTGATGTAAGTATGGGTCCACCTCATTCCTGACACAACAACCATGAAGTTTTAATAAAAGCACGCATTGGCAGTGGCTACTTGTGTGGGACAATGTACGTGTGATCGTTTATCCTTTTATGAAATTCGCTTAAACCGAGCAGTGTGTGCTCTATAAATATGCCCCTTTTTTCTATTTGGTGCCATACACAGAAATGGTGTAACCCCGGTGTGGTCTGCACGCTACTGGATGTAGGTAACAATCTGGATGTCAGTAACAATCTGGATGTCAGTAACAATCTGGATGTCGGTAACGATCTGGATGTCGGTAGCAATCTGGATGTCAGTAACAATCTGGATGTCGGTAACAATCTGGATGTCGGTAACGATCTGGATGTCGGTAACAATCTGGATGTCGGTAACAATCTGGATGTCGGTAACAATCTGGATGTCGGTAACAATATGGATGTAGGTAACAATCTGGATGTCGGTAACATTCTGGATGTCAGTAACAATCTGGATATCAGTAACAATTTGGATGTCGGTAACAATCTGGATGTCAGTAACAATCTGGATGTAGGTAACAATCTGGATGTCGGTAACAATCTGGATGTCGGTAACAATCTGGATGTCGGTAACAATCTGGATGTCGGTAACAATATGGATGTAGGTAACAATCTGGATGTCGGTAACAATCTGGATGTCAGTAACAATCTGGATATCAGTAACAATTTGGATGTCGGTAACAATCTGGATGTCAGTAACAATCTGGATGTAGGTAACAATCTGGATGTCAGTAACAATCTGGATGTCGGTAACAATCTGGATGTCAGTAACAAGCTGGTTGTCGGTAACAATCTGGATGTCAGTAACAATCTGGATGTCAGTAACAATCTGGATGTCGGTAACAATCTGGATGTCAGTAACAATCTGGATGTCAGTAACAATCTGGATGTCAGTAACAATCTGGATGTCGGTAACGATCTGAGTGTTGGTAACAAACTAGTTTTCCTTTAATTATTGCCTGGCACCAATTTGGTTTCACTCAATTCTCATTATTTTTGCTTAAAAAATTCCCTAGCAAGAAATTCGAATAGCTTCTTTATTGGCTTTGAATTTTGTGATCTCACTTATGTAGTTTAATTAAATTCTTTGATAAACTCATCCGTTTATCAATCAATTGTACCGCAAAATGTTAAATGGAGACTTTCCAACAATCTGTTTCCGTTTCAAGTTTATTTTTTAAAAACGTATGAGTTTTATTGTTTATGTATAATGGCTTTATTTCTGTGATTGTACTTGTTACGTCATGCAACTTTTGTTTTTTGAAATTGCCCAATTTACCACATATATGTATACATATAAATGTAACAGAGACTGCCATTCGAGGATTGGTCTCACCAGCCACACCAAGAGCTGCAAGCAATAAAGATAATCTATCGTCTCCCGCGGACGGACAGATGCCATACATGTATACATATATACATAACAAGATGATTTCCTAATTTCCTAAACATCGAGAGTCTCCGATTCACAATACTTTATGGATCCATTGATACTATATATCAGATTTTATTCCCATGCAATTTGAGATGAAATGCACTTACCACAAATGTTAAACTATCTGGCAGAGTTAAACGATTCCTTATTGTCGATTTACAGGACGTTTCTAATATGATTTTGCATGATGCGCTCTCATTTGCAGGATAGAGAGGCTGAACTTCACACGTGATTGTACTGCAATAAGAGATTTTTATTTTATATATTCCAATCAAACCGTTCACACAAGGTATCAAAATATAAAGTTATGAGATATTATTTCCAAAATTTAAGGTATGGTGTTCGTATTTTTTGTTTCGCTATTCTCCAGAACAGCGTTCCCACAGATAGTAGTCCGTGGACGTGCGCCTGTCTGCGAAGCTTACGCTGCCGATCTACAGAAACATTATTGAAGAAACTGAGAGGAAAGTTACATGTTTTAGTCTATTTAATATTAATTTTTTTTTTTTAAAACTGAGGTTGTCTTTAGCATTAAAGATTCCCGCGTTGTGTGCACCAAGAGGAGCTTAGCAAGCTGACGCTGTGTGTCATATTAAGATATTGAGAAATGTGAAACTTATCAATGAAAAGATCACACGAAACAAGGTCAAATCACGTTTAAACTGGCAACTGTCATGATCCGTATTTGATTGTTTTCTTTCATCGCTCTCTTGGACACGTTCTTACGTTGTAATAAAACCGAATTGATCACAAGTCCTATTCCATCAGCAATGTAAACTTAAATCCAGAACCATATCTACCAGGCTGTCATTTAATTTAAACACACGCATAACGCAGCTCGCTACGAAAAGGAGAATAATGCACATTCAATAACTACAAGGTACTTTCATCAACTGCTGAATCAAAATAAACTTGCGCCGAGGATAGTCGTGAAGCTACGTCATAATCGCTATAAATATACGTCAACTACAGACAGGTGAGAAAGGCGCTCATTAACTAACACTCAAACACACCGCGCACAATAAATACAATATCCGGTGCGCAAACATACTAGTGAAAACCCACACCTGACAGCAACCCCAAGCAATGTCGCAATGGAAAAAAGTGGATGCAAGATGACGTAACAGTTAGACGAGGCAACGTTAACGAAGATTAAACCACTCGTGTTTCAAACCGTTTTATTCCTTTGTTATCCAAAAATCATGCTTGTAACCTTCTTTTTCACACGACACCTGTGCACTCTGAAGTAGACATACGTGAACTCTGAAGGGGACACACGTGTTTCTACAGGGGACACACGTGCACTCTGAAGGTGACACACGTGCACTCTGAAGTAGACATACGTGAACTCTGAAGGGGACACACGTGTTTCTACAGGGGACACACGTGCACTCTGAAGGGGACACCCGTGCACTCTGAAGTAGACATACGTGAACTCTGAAGGGGACACACGTGTTTCTACAGGGGACACACGTGCACTCTGAAGGGGACACACGTGCACTCTGAAGGGGACACACTTGCACTTTGAAGGGGTCACACATGCACTCTGAAGGGGACACACGTCTCAAACATAACTCACTGTTTGTAAATTGAACGCATTAATTTTGAATTTTGCAAGGAAGATTATTGTCTATTTAGGTCGTAATAGAATTCCTCAACGGGAGAAAATTTATTCGGTTAGTACCTAATAGTTAATCAAGTCCAATGATTAGCTAGCCATCGATTTAAAAAAAATAATGTTCACATATTTAAGATCAATTTTAAAATCAATAATTTAAAAAATGTTGCACAGCTCGCTGGCAAATGAGAAACATGTTCCCTCAGTCCCCAAACTTAAAAGTTTACTTAGTCTCAAAGGACCAGGGTCCAATTAGAGCTACGCGTACCAGGGTCCCTTTAGACTAAATCCAATTCGGATGTCATTTGTGGTAGTTTATTTTAGTTCAACTGAAGAATTACGTTTACAAACATATAGTCCATTCAATTATCTTTCAATTGATACCTCCTTTTGTCTTACATACCCAACAATAATATGTTAAATTGTTTTTTAATCCCAACCTCTCACTTCTGGTACTCGGGTGCGAATAGTCGCAGCCAAACATTAAATTGATGTTAAGTACTTACCTTCCAGAAGAATTAATTATATCACATGGTGCATCGCAAATTTTTACTGTTGCGTTTCTTATTGAGGCTAATCCATACATTGTCAGTATGGTACCTCCTTGAGGAGGGGCATATGTAGGAGTAATCTGTTGAATGTTAAGAAAATAATGTAAAAATCGAGTTAGAAATAAATAAACCCATGCTAGAAGGTGAATCTGTTCCTTTGAAGACAACTATAAATAGATAATTCTTATATTGTATTTGATTTTTCTTGTATGGCTCTTAAGTACTTGAAAATAAAAAAAAAAAATAATAATAATAGGCGATAAATACTTTTTGGACTATAATTGTTTTAAAAAATATGTTATGTCTTCATTTTTTTAAGGCCATGAGTTTAGACATGTACGTTGACGAGGCCTTATGAAACATTCACTGAGCTACTGAAATCCTCAAACAGGTTTTATCATAAATTCAATAGTCAGCGATGTAATTCAAATAAGTTGTCCGGTTCGCTCCCCTGTTGCTTGTTTTTAGGGATTGAAAAAAAAATAAGTTTTTTCCAAAGTAGACTTTTCATTCATGCAGTTATAAGTAGACTTGATTATATTATAATGGAGACTTTTAAATATGAATGCAATTATTCTAAAACATTGGGAGTGGTTGGGGGGGGGGGGGGGGGAAAAAAAAAAAAATTGTTTTTAATTTCCAAAAAAAAAAAAAAAAAAAAAAAAAATTAGAAAAATTAAAAAAAAAAAATGGGGGGGGTGGGGGGGGGGAGGGGAAGAAAAAAAAAATTGTTATTCATATTTCCATAATTAAAAAAAAAAACAACTGATTCGATGAACTTTAAAAAAAAAAAGTTTAATTTCTGTCGAACAGATGCTAACCGAATGAATCCAAAAACTGGATAGATTTAATAATTATTTTTTTGAAAATGAATCAGAATATCACAAAATGTTATATAATTATACATTCCTACCCATGACCCATTCGATGGCTTGTCCTCCTGACGGTCATCTTGACACAATGTCCCTTTCTCTTGACACACTCTTGTACTATAACACCAATTACATGTCTCAGATGAACAATGTCTGCATCCTTGAAACTGTTGGCAGTCATGTACCGGTCGTCTGACCAACTTAAATCATATAAAAATAATAGTTGATTAATAGCTACTATAATTAAAACTAAATCAAATAGTTTAAGTGTAGACTCATTAACCACATTATACAAATTGTGTCAATCAAACGAAAATAAAAAGTAATGTCAAATTGTCTAAAAAGAATCAAAATTGTATCCTTGACTCAATATTGTTATGACATGACAACAGATGTTTCTGTAAGGCAATATGTGGAAATTCGTCACTCAACCCAAAGAGTACCATCTTAATCATCCGATTGTTTGATGAGGATGATGTGGACGCACAGTTGGCTGGCAACACCAATAGGAAATTTTATTATGCAGTGGGTGCCAAAGGTAGATGGCACATTCAGGATGCAGTATGTGACAGGGATAGATGGGACATTCAAGGGGAAATAGGTACCAGGGATAGATCAGACATCTCCTGGTGCATAAGTGACAGGGATGGATAGAACATCGTCCGATGCAGTAGGTGAAAGAGATAAATTGGACATATCCAAGTGCTGAAGGGGCCAGAGATAAATGTAGCATTTCAGGTGCAGTAGATGCCATATATAGATGGGACATTCATGGTGATGTAGGTGACAGGGATATATGGGACAACACGAGGTGCATTGGGTGACAGGGATTGACACAAAATCTCTAGGTGCATTATGTGAAAGCGATCAATGGGACATCACTAGGTGCAGTAGGGGGACAGGTATAGACAGGACATCTCTAGGAGAAGTGGGTGACAAGGATAGATGGGACATCTCTAGGTGCAGAGGGTGACAGGTATAGATGGGACTCGTCTAGGTGCAGTAGGTGACAGCGATATATGGTACATCACTATGCGCAGTAGCTGACAGGGATAGATGAGACATCTGCAGGGTTAGTTTATTGACAGGGATAGATGGGGCAACTCTAGGTGCAGTATGGAACATTGATAGATGGGACATATGTTAAGGTGCAGTAGTGCACAAGGATAGGACGGATATCTCCAAGTGCAGTAGGTGACAAGGACAGATGGGATATCTCTTGGTGCAGTAGCTGACAGGGACGGATAGGATATCTCTAGATGCAGTAGTTGACAGGGATAGATGGGATATATCCAGGTGGAGTAGGTGACAAGGACAGATGTGACATCACTAGGTGCAGTAGGTGACAAGGACAGATGGGATATCTCTTGGTGCAGTAACTGACAGGGACGGATAGGATATCTCTAGATGCAGTAGTTGACAGGGATTTATGGGATACCTCCAGGTGGAGTAGGTGACAAGGACAGATGGGATATCACTAGGTGCAGTAGGTGACAGGGACAGATGGGACATCACCAGGTGCAGTATGTGACAACGACAGATGGGATATCACTAGGTGCAGTAGGTGACAGGGACAGATGGGATATCTTCAGGTGGGATATCTCTTGGTGCAGCAGCTGAGAGGGACGAATAGGATATCTCTAGATGCAGTAGTTCACAGGGTAAGAGGGGATATCTCGAGGTGCAGTAGGTGACAGGGAAAGATTGACATCCTTAGGAGAGTTAGATGACAGTGATATATGGGACATATATCCAGGTTCAGGAGGTGACAGGGTTAGATGGGATTTCGCCAGGTGCAGTAGGTTAAAGTTATAGATGGGACATCTCTAGATGTAATAGGTGACATCGATAGATGGGACATCTCTAGGTGCAGTAGGTGTCAGGGATAGATTGGACACATCTTGATGCAGTGGGCGACAGGAATGGATGGGACATTTCCAGGCGCAGTATATGACAGGGATAGATACGACATATCCAGGTGAAGTAGGGGAAATGGAGAAATAGGATATCTCCATGTGCAGTAGGTGACAAGGACAGATGGGATATCTCTTGGTACAGTAGCCGACAGGGACGGATAGGATATCTCTAGATGCAGTAGTTGACAGGAAAAGATGGGATATCTCAGGGTGCAGTAGGGGACAGGGGCAGATGGGATTTTCTAGTTGCAGTAGGTTACAAGGACAGATGGGATAACCCCAGGTGCTGCATGTTAAAGTTATAGATGGGAAATCTCTAGATGCAATAGGTCACAGGGACAGATGGTATATCTCTAGATGCAGTAGGTGACAGGGATAGATGGGAAATCTCTAGATGCAGTAGGTGACAGGGATAGACGGGAAATCTCTAGATGCAGTAGGTGACAGCGTTAGATTGCACATCAATATGTGCAGTAGGTGACAGGGATAGATTGGACATATCTTGATGCAGTAGGGGACAGGAAAAGATGGGGCATTTCCAGGCGCAGTAGGGGACAGGGATAGATGGGTCGTCAATAGGTGCAGTAGGTGACTGGGATAGATGGAACATCTCGAGGTGCAGTAGGTGACAGGGATAGATTGGACATATCTTGATGCAGTAGGGGACAGGGATCGACGGCACATCTCTAGTTGCAGTGGGTGACAGGGATAGATTGGACATCTCTAGGTGCACTATTATCTTGGTTTTTCTTGATTTTTAAATGCTGCTAACAAATCAGCTGCTTGAAGAAGAAACAATAGAGCAGATAGGGACTATTTTACATCTAACGCTTTGGGTTAGAAAGGAATCAGAACTTTGTGGGACTTGATTTTTAAACACTTTACTGTTCAATTGAAACTGTATTGAAATTGATGGTTACCGTTTAACAAGGCTATTGCATTAATCTGCCAAGTCAAAACACATTAATAATTGCCTACACTTTTGTCACTTTTTTCAATCTTGTTGATCAAATGATATACGCTTTTTCGGAACACAGTTCATCGAACAAGTTGGGTGTTTACCTCGGCAATCTATATTAAGACTTTCTAAATTCTCCATCAAGTTTTTTTTTTGTGTGTTAAAAGTCCTTAAGCCATGCCTGGGTTTTCGAAAGCCGGTCTATAGTTTAAAAAGTATACTTTTACGTGATAGACATTATGAGACAATGGTATCGGAATGATTTGAGACACGGAGTATAAAAAAACAACAACACATACTTATGTCGACTAGTCACCCGCAACACGGTTAATGTTTTGGTCAGTGTGCTGTGCTATCCTCGCACAAACCAAAAAGCAGCACGTTATTTTGGCATTTGTTCAAGGGATTCTGTCAGAAGCAGCATTAGCTTGACGAGTGACGTGTGACGTATAACGATTTTTGTTTTTGGCTTCGTGAGAGGACCAGCGAACCAACGTTTATCTCTACGACAAAATGCAGGCGATGACGAAAGAGTTGACGGCTACGATCTCATCCACGGATAAAACAGCATTCGTCGCCATAGAAGAGCAAGTGCAGTGCAATTGTCACCTCTTCGAAGAACGGATGAGATATTCAAACGGAATAGCAGCATAACTGTATAATTATATTCACTCCTTAAGAAAATATTTACATTTGTTAGCAATGAAGTTTTAATATAATACGTTTTTTGTTCTTTTCATACTCCGTGTCTCAAATCATTCCGACACCATTGTCTCGTAATGTCGATCACGTAAATGTATTTTATCAAAAAGCAAATTCAAAAAAAAAATACTTAAAATACACAAATTGAAACGAAAATTATGTATAATAAAGTGTGAATAGGTGAAAAAGAAGATTAAAAGGGATGCTATTATTTGAAATAAATTAAGAACATTTAGCACTTGAATATGACATGTATTTGAATGAAAATGATGCATTACTTGGCTCCCCACAGTCATGTAGACGTTGATAAACTTTTCATTGGATTGAACACATAAATTCACATCCTTCGTGTAATTAGTCACTTCAAACTTTTCTACAAAACTCGAATCCAATTTCTGTTTTCCTGAGTTGCCAACATTAAGAAGATTCTGACTCAAATAAAAAATGAACAAAAGTTTAAAGGGATTAAACGTTGACGTTATATGTATAAAATGTAATAATAAAAATCCAGGAAATGTGCCTGTGAATATCAAAACAAGACAAGCAAAAGAAAGTTTCGCCTTAAAAGCTAAAGACAGTTTTGCCCGAGAAGCTAAAGAAATTATTGCCTGTAAAGCTAAAGAAACTTTCGCCTGAAAAGCTTAGCAAAGTTTGACCTTCCTTTGCAAACCATTCCCCGGCCTAAAATAATTTTAAAATAATTAATTCCTACCCAACACACAAAGAAGAAACACAGTGAAACCTCTCATAACAAGCACATCTCATAATGAGTACCTCTCATAACGAGCACCTCTCATAACGAGCACCTCTCATAATGAGTACCTCTCATAATGAGTACCTCTCATAACGAGCACCTCTCATAATGAGTACCTCTCATAATGAGTACCTCTCATAACGAGCACCTCTCATAACGAGCACCTCTCATAATGAGTACCTCTCATAATGAGCACCTCTCATAACGAGCACCTCTCATAATGAGTACCTCTCATAATGAGTACCTCTCATAACGAGCACCTCTCATAATGAGTACCTCTCATAATGAGCACCTCTCATAATGAGTACCTCTCATAATGAGTACCTCTCATAATGAGCACCTCTCATAATGAGCACCTCTCATAATGAGTACCTCTCATAATGAGTACCTCTCATAACGAGCACCTCTCATAATGAGTACCTCTCATAATGAGCACCTCTCATAATGAGTACCTCTCATAATGAGCACCTCTCATAATGAGTACCTCTCATAATGAGTACCTCTCATAATGAGTACCTCTCATAATGAGCACCTCTCATAACGAGTAATTCGCATAGCGACCAAAAAAAAAAAAGTGAAAAAGTTGCTCCCTTAAGAACGATATTTCGCATAACGAGTTACGCAGAAAAGGGGAGTCCCTTTTTCCTGACACTCATTTGTGAGCCGGGGCTTATGCGCCGAATGTTTTATTCCAGCGGTTCTCAATCTGTGGGTTGTGACCCCTTTAGGGGTAGCGCGGCCCTTTCCAAGGGGTCGCCTTAGACCAGAGATCTCCAAACTACGGCCCGAGGGCCGCATGCGGCTCGCGAGGCCCTCTCATCTTGCCCGCGGAGACCATTTTGTCTACGGAAAAAAATACTGAATGGTAAGTGTCTCCTGCCAAGATCAGCCGCCGCCTACGTGGCCGTAATATTTTTAATAAATTGAAATGGAGGCACGCTGAAGTGCGTTATCTTTTCCAACCGATCGCGACATTGCAAAATCTTATTCGCTGCTAGTTTTTCTTCTTCCTTTCACAGTCAATGAGATTGGTAAAACGCCATCTAGTTGCGGAGTTTTTAAATGGTTTGCTGCTTGTTCAGGACTTGATTATTTTGATCTCAGTTTGCCAGTTGCAGCTGATTGCTGCGATGTGGAGGTGTTGGTGTCAGCGTTTGATCACAGTTTGCCAGTTGCAGTTGATTGCTGCGATGAGGAGGTGTTGGTGTCAGCGTTTGATCACAGTTTGCCAGTTGCAGTTGATTGCTGCGATGAGGAGGTGTTGGTGTCAGCGTTTGATCACAGTTTGCCAGTTGCAGTTGATTGCTACAATGAGGAGGTGTTGGTGTCAGCGTTTGATCACAGTTTGCCAGTTGCAGTTGATTGCTGCGATGAGGAGGTGTTGGTGTCAGCGTTTGATCACAGTTTGCCAGTTGCCGTTGATTGCTACAATGAGGAGGTGTTGGTGTCAGCGTTTGATCACAGTGTGCCAGTTGCAGTTGATTGCTGCGATGAGGAGGTGTTGGTGTCAGCGTTTGATCACAGTTTGCCAGTTGCAGTTGATTGCTACAATGAGGAGGTGTTGGTGTCAGCGTTTGATCACAGTTTGCCAGTTGCAGTTGATTGCTGCGATGAGGAGGTGTTGGTGTCAGCGTTTGATCACAGTTTGCCAGTTGCAGTTGATTGCTGCGATGAGGAGGTGTTGGTGTCAGCGTTTGATCACAGTTTGCCAGTTGCAGTTGATTGCTACAATGAGGAGGTTTGGTGTCAGCGTTTGATCACAGTTTGCCAGTTGCAGTTGATTGCTACAATGAGGAGGTGTTGGTGTCAGCGTTTGATCACAGTTTGCCAATTGCAGTTGATTGCTACAATGAGGAGGTGTTGGTGTCAGCGTTTGATCACTGTTTGCCAGTTGCAGTTGATTGCTGCGATGAGGAGGTGTTGGTGTCAGCGTTTGATCACAGTTTGCCAGTTGCAGTTGATTGCTGCGATGAGGAGGTGTTGGTGTCAGCGTTTGATCACAGTTTGCCAGTTGCAGTTGATTGCTGCGATGAGGAGGTGTTGGTGTCAGCGTTTGATCACAGTTTGCCAGTTGCAGTTGATTGCTGCGATGAGGAGGTGTTGGTGTCAGCGTTTGATCACAGTTTGCCAGTTGTCGTTGATTGCTACAATGAGGCGGTGTTGTTGTCAGCGTTTGATCACAGTTTGCCAGTTGCAGTTGATTGCTGCGATGAGGAGGTGTTGGTGTCAGCGTTTGATCACAGTTTGCCAGTTGCAGTTGATTGCTGCGATGAGGAGGTGTTGGTGTCATCGTTTGATCACAGTTTGCCAGTTGCAGTTGATTGCTGCGATGAGGAGGTGTTGGTGTCAGCGTCTGATTTCGAAACATTTTGAACTCTATTTATTTAGTGACAATTTCGTTCCCGTAATCGTGTTTCAAGTATTGGGAATTTCGTTAGTTTACTAAGTATTTTTCGAATTTTCTAAAGAGGAAACAGTAAAGCAACAATCTCTTAACTATAAGTGGATATATTTGCACACTATATTCAGGTAAGTTTAACTTAGGAAATCATAAGAATTTTTAAAAATTGTTTCGGGTCATTTGCAGCTATAATTGTGACAAAATTAGTTCGCATAAACAGGTTTTTTGAGCGATATTGTGTCCAAGAGACTATAAGTTTTACAATTTATTCATGTTGAATTCAATTTATTTTAGTTTCCAGCGATGGCCGAGTGGAGGAAAAGAAAAATAGATGATGAATGTCGGGAATTTCAAGAAGAATTAAGTTCGAAATAATTCTTCATCAAATCCGGTGACAAAGCATTGTGTGTGATTTGCAACGAAATCGTGGCTGTGATGAAAAAAGGCAACTTGCACCGTCATCATCAAAGCAAACATCAGGAGAAATATGCACAGTTGGAGGTAAAGTCCATGCCGAAACTTTTTCTAAATTACAAAATCAACTCACATCTAAGAGGACATCAACTCACATCTTATAGGACATCAACTCACATCTCAGAGGACATTATTCAGTAAATCATCAAATGAAAATGACTCCTTAACTAAGGCCAGTTATAAAGTTGCTTACGTCCAGGTTAAAATTGGCAAACCCTTTACAGATGGTGAAGTTGACAAGGAATGTTTGTTGGTGGTGGCTGAGAAACTTTGCCCAGAAAAGTCAAAACAATTTTAAAATGTAGCGTTGGGTGCAAATATCATTGCCCGTCGTGTTGCAGAAAGGTTAAAACATTGTGACTCAAATGGCGTAAAATGCAAGCAATTTACGCCATTTTTCAATAGCGATGGATGAATTGCTGGACAGCTGTTCCACCTCTCAACTGCTTGTGTTTATTAGAGGTGTGTATGAAGACATGAACATAACACACGAGCTGACATGTACGGCACTGTTACCGGAGAGGATATATTCAATGAGTTGGAAAAAAAAAATTCTGATTATAACTAGGAGTGGACTAACCTCAGTTGCCTGACTGTTGATGGAGGAAAGAACATGAGTGACATAAAGAAAGGCTTGGTTGGACAAGTGAAGCAGATATGTAATGAGAAAAACATTCTACAACCAATGTTCCTGCACTGTATTATTCACCAGCAAGCTTTGTGTGCAAAGTATGTAGACATTAGCAGTGTACTGAATCCTGTGGTGAAGATGTTAGATTTAATAAGGTCACATGGGTTCAAACATAGACAGTTCAGATACCTGTTGAAAGATACAGACACAGAATCACAAGATTTACCATATTCCACAGCAGCAGTAAGATGGCTGTTTTGAGAAAGTTTTGAGCAGAATATTTAAGTTAAGAAAGGAAATAAGTGACTTCCTGGAAAGTAAAGGCAAAACAAATACATTACTGTATGATGACTAGTGTGTATGGAAATTGGTCTTTGCTGCAGACATAACTAGTCGTTTAAATTTTCTTAACCTAATTTTCGGCCCCCAGGAATCTAGTTTGAAATCTAGTTTATGATCTATACACCCACCTAAAGGCTTTCATATCCAAATTCGTCTTGTTTTTGGAACAAGTACAGGCCAACAACTTGACGCACTTTTAGCAGTGAAAGGTCTTCATGGCTGTAGCAACAGCGGAGTTCCCCCACATCATTTGCACGCGAGATCATTAAAGACCTCCAGCTGCAGTTTCAGTAGCGGTTTTTTGACTTGGATTCAATGGCAGAAGAAGTGAGACTGTTTCAAAAGCTATTTGAAGCAGATTCGGCCAGTTGCCCAGATGAGCTGCAGCTGGAGGTCATTGAGTTGCAATTTGAAAATGACCTCCTTAGGGACACGTTCAAAGAAAGACTGGTGGCGTTTTACCAGTTTTTGCCCAAAGAAAACTTTCCTAATGTCAAAACTTTTGCATCAAGGTACCTTTCAACATACCTGGAACAACATACCAGTGTTAAACATTTTCAAGAATAAAATGCGTGAAGAATAATCATCAACAGTGACCTAAGATTATCATCGGACAAGTTTGTTCTCAGCGTGGGACATCAAATTATCTAAAGCCAGAAATGTCTATTTTTGCATCCAGGAAACAATTTCACCATTCTCACTTATACATTTGTTCATGTTTAGTGTATCAATGTGTTTATTAAATAATAACTGAATAAAATATTATTTTATTTATTTATTTATTTAGGCATTTTTATATAGCGCTTATCATAAAGCTCTAAGCGCTTTACAATTATTAAAACATGTAAACTAAGTAAATACAAATGAGACACTAGGATAGTAACTACTATTCTATAGAAACAATGAAAATGGCTATAAAACGAGGACACTTTGACACTTCAGGATCAACCCGAAACAGAAAATGAGGTAGGGCAAGGAGGGTGCATCACAGGTCATAGGCGGACCTAAACAGATGAGTTTTAAGGGACTTTTTGAAAATGGACGAGGTTTCACTATGACGTATATGGAAGGGGAGCTGGTTCCAGAACGTGGGCCCATGGAAGCAGAAGGAGCGTTCACCGATGGTCTTAGTTTTAGTTCTTGGGATTGAGAGGGTTCTACTGTCAATGGAAGAACGTAGTTGTCTTGTGGGGATGTAAGGAAGCAACAGTTCAGAGAGATAGACAGGAAAGTGAGGGTCAGTGAACGAGTTGAAGCAAAGATTGGCAGACTTGTATTTGATGCGAGAGGATATTGGAAGCCAGTGGAGTTGCCGCATGTGTGGTTGAATGTGGTCATGTTTCTTTGATTTAAAAATGAGTCTGCATGCTGAGTTCTGTGCCTTCTGAAGTTTTTCTATGTGGTGTTGAGGAATGCCTGAGAGAAGAATGTTACAGTAGTCAAATTTTGAAAGAATGAGTGAAGAGACGAGAGTTTTTGTGGCATCAAAGGAGAGGAGGTGTCTAATGGTGCTGATTTTTCTAATTTCATTATATGCTGATCTGCATATATTCGTGACATGTTTCTCCATGGAGAGGGTGTCCGTAAGCGTGACTCCAAGGTTTCTGGCAGAGGGAGAGAGTGTAATGTCAGAGTTGCCAATAGATATAGAAGAAGGAGCGAATGGAGGGAGAGGTTTGTTTTGAGAGTGGATGAGAAGGATTTCCGTTTTATCATCATTTAGCTTCAGTTTGTTGCAAGTCATCCAACGCTTTACATCGTCCACGCACTCCTGTATGCGAAGGATTGTGGCATCAAGTTGATCAGGAAAGCAAGAGTCACTGATTTGAGTGTCATCAGCAAAGGATTGACTGGAAACTGAGTGGTGGCTAATGAGAGATGATAGAGGTTTAGTGTAGAGGATGAAAAGGACAGGCCCAAGGACCGATCCTTGAGGAACTCCAATTTATTAAATTTATTAAATAAATAATTAAAAACAACATCCATGTTTTGATTCTTTTTTATTTGGACCTTGAGTTTGTAGTCGGCCACTGAACTGCTGTTTTTTAGTTAATGCGGCCCTCGGACTGAAAAATGTGTAGATCCCTGCCTTAGACTATCTGAAAACACATATTCTTACAGCTATGAAGTAGGAACGAAAATAATTAGGTTGGTGGGGGTCGCCAAGACACGAGAAACTGTATTAAAGGGTCGCGGCACTAGGAAGTTTGAGAAACATTGCATTAGTCTTTGTTTAGCACTCGGTCTGTTAGCGTATTGTTTTCGTGTGTGATCACCAGTTTTTACAAATTTTGTATTCAGACAGAATTCGTAATTTTTTTATGTGCAAAGTGTAATAACCTGTGCTAAAATGTCTTCGAAAAAAAAAAACACAAGAAGACAATCATAAAAGAGAAAAAATAACTGTTGAAATGATACGTAAAATAAATGAAAAGGGAAAACAAGGTGTGAGCGTGGCAACTCGTGCTACAAATTTATTCAATGATAATGTTGTGTCACATTTTCGTCAAATTTTGAAGCGTAAGCAAAAACAAATGTCTTTAGACAGTTTTCTAGTTAAAAAGGATTAATTATTTGTCATAAATTCATATTTTTATTTACGCTTTTTGTTTCAAATCTAAATTGTATTCCAAGTTGTTACACTCCTTAACAATTCATAAGTATAACATTTGAATAAATGTTACTAAAAAGTTTTGAAAAATGTGTATTTTTTCAGCATGGAACACATTGTCGTATTTTACATTGATTTGTATGGGAAAAATTGTTTCGTTTAACGAGTGTTTCGCTTAACGAGTAAGAGTCTGGAACGAATTAAACTCGTCATGAGAGGTTCCACTGCATAATAAAACATTAAGAACATAAGATGCAACTTTCGAAAGGTTTGATAGCAAACTGTTTAATACCAACACTGACACGTCATCAAGAAAGCGTGAAATTCTGTCTAAGAAATTTAGTGATGACTTTTATATGATTAAACACAATGATGTCACGATTTATATGTACAACTTGCAGGCAAGAATGAAAACAAATGAATTCATTTTTTGGTGCCCTATTAAATAAATAAATTACGTTTTTTCTCTTCATATTCATTTACATTCTAATTTAAAGTTTATTTAAATCTATGAAATATATATGAGTATGCATACTAAAAAAAAAAAAAAAGAAAACAAAAAAAGAAAAAAAAAAAAGGTCACCCACTTTCTCCATTATCCCGTCATTAGTAACCAGGAATAGATACAGAGCACCAGTAGCCTTTGATTCAGAAATATAGAGAGCAGTTATCGTGGTGTTCCTTCTTAGCATAGCTTCCCTTGTTTGACCACTTGCCATTTGAAGGTAGACGCCGTGGTTTTTAGGCGGTGAATTGTTCTTTAGATGACAAACTTATCGATATTAGTTTTCATTTTTGAACCGAAATTTTTTTAAAATTTCATAATCATTTAATGCAATGAGAATGTCACTTAAAATGATAAAAGTGCTTTGACCGTTTAGAGTGTAAATAAAACTTTCAAAGTATAATTTCAATTTTTAAACCATTTTTGGTTGGTTAAAAATGGATATTGTTTTTATTATTGAATTGATAAATGCATTTTATTGAATTGATAAATGCATTTTATTGAATTGATAAATGCATTTTATTGAATTGATAAATGCATTTTATTGAATTGATAAATGCATTTTATTGAATCGATAAATGCATTTTATTGAATTGATAAATGCATTTTATTGAATTGATAAATGCATTTTATTGAATTGATAAATGCATTTTATTGAATTGATAAATGCATTTTATTGAATTGATAAATGCATTTTATTGAATTGATAAATGCATTTTAAAATAGTCTATCTTGCTTTTTTGAAACTATAATATTAAAAAAACCGACAACTTTTTTTTACACTCATTCACAGCACCATTATTAAATAGGCGTGTTAATGGTAAATGGGAATCTCAAACTTATGAAAATAAAACTAATTAATAAGAGCACAGTCATAAATACACATCTGACACATACACACCCGAAACATACAAATGTGACACATATCTGACACATACACATGTGACACATAATGGTCTGAAACATACACACATGACACATACACACCTGACACATACACATGTGACACATACATACCTGAAACATACACATCTGACACATACACACCTGAAACATACACATGTGACACATATCTGACGCATACACATGTGACACATACATGTCTGAAACATACACACATGACACATACACACCTGACACATGCACATGTGACACATACATACCTGAAACATACACATCTGACACATACACACCTGAAACATACACACATGACACATACACACCTGATACATACACACCTGGCATATATACACGTAAAACATACACACCTGACACATACACATCTGACACATAAACACCTGAAAACATACACATCTGACACATACGCATGTGACACATGCACACCTGGCACATACACAATTGATACATACACACCTAATCTATACACACCTGGCACCGCTGCTTTGGAAGCTTTATCCAGTCCACCTGTCTCGTTTGCGTGCCAACTCCTGACGAACAGGAATTAATGGCAGACTCTAGATTCACGTCTATTTCCTCAATAAAAAAGGCGCAGAGGGCGCCACCATTTCTTGGCTCAGATGTCCCTGGCCTGGCATCACCATTGGCACCAAAAGCAACCAACAGCACGGGGACCGTAGCAGCCTTTTTGTTTGAAGGAACATTGAGGTTAGTGAAAGTTGCAGCAGTCATTTCGGTGTAGGTCTCATTCTGGAATGTTTGTATAATTTTAACATATTTTAAATCAAACAGTAACAACGCCATAAAAGCGTTTTATTTCTAACCATCATTTGAGATCCATCAATATATTAATTCGTATGAATTTGGCGGTGAGGTGGGGTGACTGGTAAGTTCGGAGATGATTGCCTGCGTGTACATATCGGCATAATGGATACGTCCATTTATGTACAGTTCTGACATCAAATAAAAAAATGCCCCCTTATTCTTAAATATAAAAGCCATCTACAACCCACATACTGACTGACTGATAACGAGATCTCAAGAAGGAAAAGCCCCCAAACGTTAACTTTTCAGGATGATTTCTCTTATTATCTAGGGGCACTAAAATAGCTTGATTTTACCTTTTAAGTTCTAGGCAAAAAATGAATTAAGTACATCTACTCTACTGGAAAATGGCTGTTAGCAAAATAGCGTGTAAAACTGTACCATAACGTTTACGGTTAAATATCCTAACAAATTAATACGGTAATTTACCTCATTAATCTGTCTTTACTGTCATTTATTGTATAAATACGGTATAATACAGTTACTTTACTGTGGGGACCGTAGTTTTAGTGTTTTTTAAAATAATTTACGTTATATACCGTATTTCTACGGTACAATACAGTAATTTTAATATAAGGATATATATTTTAATACATTGAAGCCACATTTACTTGATCGTAAGACTGTTAAAGGCCAAAACATTGTTAATAATTAATAATAATACATGTAATAATAAAGTTCATTTCAAAAACATGCTTCATCCCTAATTAAAGCTCGAAGTGAAAGAAAATACAAAACGCAACAATACAAAATCTTCATACAAGCCAATAGACAATACAAGCCAATGGATAATACAAGCCAATGGACAATACAAGCCAATGGACAATACAAGCCAATGGACAATACAAGCCAATGGACAATACAAGCCAATGGACAATACAAGCCAATGGATAATACAAGCCAATAGACAATACAAGCCAATGGACAATACAAGCCAATGGACAATACAAGCCAATGGACAATACAAGACAATGGACAATACAAGCCAATGGACAATACAAGCCAATGGACAATACAAGCCAATGGACAATACAAGCCAGTATAAATCGAGAAATATGAGCAGGCTCCTTTTAAACAAGGAGGTAGACTACATCACCCGAGCAGGTGAGTGAGAAAAAGATGTGTTTTCAACTCAGTTTTGAAAGACTGCAGTGTCCGGCAGTTTCTGAGAACGACAGGAAGGCTGTTACTGATTCTTGGGCCAGCAAAAGCGAAAGTGCGCCTTCTGTAGGTCTCAAGGCGGACTCGCGGTGTCCAGAGCTCGCAACTATTGGACGAACGGAGCGATCTAGTGGGTACATAAGGCGACAAGAGCGCTTTAAGATGGGGCTGTGTCAGGTAATGCAAGCAGCGATAGCACGGAGTGGAAATTTTGTACTCAATGCGAGCGCGGACCGGCAGTCAATGCAGGTCTCTTGGAAGTGTTTTAGCATGGTTGAATTTGAACTTGCATCGAACAATGGGAGCACCATTCTGTGCTTTTTTAATTCTATCCAGGATCGTAGACGGACGACGTAACATGGGGTCATTGCGTAGTCGTTGCGTGATCGCACGAATGCACAAAAGCCTGTTTGATACATCAATCGTTAAAAAAAGGACTTTTATGACTAATTATGCATATTAATGATTTGTTTCACGATTATTCTGTTTAAGCCTTGCAATGTTTCCTTCGACTACTCAACGTGACTTGGTGTCGAGATGAATTGAGAAATTTTCTTACATTTATGGGTGACATTTTAGGCCAAGGGCAGGTTTTGCTTTCATGGAAGGTGCAACGAAAGGTTTGTCCCACCCCGAGACTCAACAACCCCAACTAAAACACTGCTCTTGACTGTCAATGTATGCGGCATATTTTTATCCCTTTCTTGTCTAATTTGTTGAATTCATTTTAAACTCATTTGTTGCAGTTAAGATTTTGTAAGAAATAAAAGACTTGAGATTTTGAAATTCTCTTCATGTAGTTTTGGTATACTTGTCATTCTCCTCAACAAAGTTGCGAATATATAAATACAAGGGTATTCAACATTCTAGTCTATTAAAAAAAATGGCTAAATGTCAACTACAGATGTGTGAAATCCATTATTTAAAATTATTGTCACAGGACAATGGCCATAAAAATATAATCAAAATTGTTCGTAACTATCATCGTTATAGGGTTTCACTTTTGAATGACCATTCTTTAATATATAATTATAGTTAGTACGAGTTATAGCTCGCCAAACATTGGTGGTAGCAATGCGTAAACTCACCATCTCCTTAAGTTACTTGACAAAAACCTGAACTCCAGTTACGCACATTTAAGAATGCCAATTTTGCAACACCCCCCCCCCTTGCATGATACGTCACGACACACTTTTTATTTCATGCCAACCCGCAGCTTAGCATACGCCGTGATCTGGCTGGCAAGCGAGGGGGGTGCAGGAGGGGGTGGTGGCTTCACCGCAGTGCGCATGTCTCGAGACCAACGATCGGTAGGCAGGCATGGTTCTGGTTCTGGTAGTGTTCGTTTCTGCATCCATATACTGGCATATGTGCATGGTTGGGGGAATGGTGTTGCTTGTCTAACAGCTCCTAGCAGATGCCACGGCAGCCCTGAAACTTTCGACCAATGTCGAGTTCACAGTGGCATTGTCCAGGTTTTCCAAGCTATTATTGTGCGTGGGAAGAAAGATTTGTTTATACTGCACTGTGTTGCACCGAGGCACAGTAAAGCATTTGCTATTGTTTCGGGTGTAATTGTTTATGGCGTTGTCAAACGTGAAGTAAGTATTCAGTGAGCGATTTGCTCTGATCAATCGACCCAGCTTCTGTGGGGTGAGGTACGTGCCTGCTGGGATGGCTGGCACCAGTCCCATGACCACTTTATATAAGAATATCAGGAGGAGTCCCTCTCGTCTGTCTTTAAGGGAGGGGATGTCAAATCTTTTTAAGAGGCCAATGACGAAGCCAAAAGTTGTGGATTTGTAGTCTCGTGCGATGAAACGCACCGCATTACGTTGAATTCGCTCCATCGTGTCCACGTATTTCTTAAGGTGTGGGTCCCAGATGATCGTACCATATTCTAGTAGTGGACGGACGAGTGCGAGATAGGCATTTCGTTTTGCAGGAAGTTGGGCAGTGGCGCAGATTTCTTCGAATGAAACCTATGGTGGCGTTGGCTTTTTTTTTAAAATTTTTGTTTATATGGGGTGACCATTTTAGGTTGTTTGAGAAGAGAATTCCAAGGTATGGATTATTTGATACTTGTTTGAGAACTGTCTGGTTTAATGAGTACATATAGGTTGATGTTTTTTTTTTCTTGAGATCCTCATTGTGCAGCATTTGGTTTCATTAAAGTTCATGCCCCATTTCTCCGCCCAATGCATAAGGCACTTTAAATCAGTTTGGAGGTGGTTGTGGTCATCGTAGCCGTTTATCTCTCTGTAGACAAGACAGTCATCTGCAAACAGCCTCACTTGAGATTTTACAGTATAGGGGAGGTCGTTTATGTGACAGAGAAAGAGAAGGGGGCCTAGCAGTGTGCCTTGTGGAACTCCTGAGGGGCTTTCCTTGATGGGATGCTGTCTACCACTACTTGCATGGTACGTTGTGTTAGGCATGTTGAGAGCTAGGAGTGAAGGTTGCCGGTAATGCCGTAGTGGTGGAGCTTCTGTAGAAGAAGGCTGTGTTGAGCAGTGTCGAAGGCCTTGGAGAAGTCGAGAATTGCCATGTTGACCTGGGTACCTTTGTTATAGGAGGCAAGAAGGTCGTTGGTGATGATGATTAATTGAGTTTCTGTTGCAAGGGAAGGGAGGGGCTGTTTGCCTGCGTCTTGCTTGCTTGCTCTGGCGTATCTATATATAGCCTGCGTGGTGTTGGTCTTTGCTCTAGTTTCTGGCGAATTATATATATATAGATTTTGACCATTGGTGTAGAGATTTGTTAGTGAGTGTATTTTGGTGTAGAGATTATTTGTGTTGCTGTAGCTATGTTGTTTGTATTAGTGACGTTTTTGTGTATGAGGGATGACGTGTTTGATTGTATTGTTTAGTAAGTTTGAATCAAGGAGAGAGAGATGAAAAGATACCGAGAGCAGCAGCATGAATAAAGAGCCACACGAAGTATTTAACTTGGTTGTTTTGATGACTTCTTTCAAATGTTGCTTGAGTGTGTAACACATAGACTACAACTGAGCCATCGAAATACCTATGCAAAGAATAGTTCGTAACATTTTATTTAACTAACCTCACTTAAAAAAAAAATATCATTGATAAATAACAAAATATCAAATAAATTTCAATGACAGATATAGGTTGTATTGAAATATTGTATGTGATATATACTTTGTAAAGAAAGTAATATTAACTTCGATCTTCATACGGAGTCCAAGAAATATAGCTAAAAATTACTAAGATGCTATGGCAGTGGTAAGGAAGTACGGTAAACCTGAAGACGTATCTGACTTTCACGTGCAATCCTCATAGTATATGGAGTTGCATTCAAGTGTAATCCTCATAGTATATAGAGTTGCATTCACGTGTAATCCTCATAGTATATGGAGTTGCATTCACGTGTAATCCTCATAGTATATGGAGTTGCATTCACGTGTAATCCTCATAGTATATGGAGTTGCATTCACATGTAATCCTCATAGTATATGGAGTTGCATTCACGTGTAATCCTCATAGTATATGGAGTTGCAAAGAAGGGGGGTGCGTGGTAAGGGTGGCGGAGAGTAAGGGCGAGGAAGAACGATATCAAGTGGGGAAGCAAATTCACCAAATTTCAAAACGTTCATGGAAAAAATAAGATCCTAAAATAGTGCAAAAGCCTTAGTCCCAATGATAGCACAAGTTGATCAATCTGTAAACAGACGTTCGGGTTCTTTTCGTTACAGAATCTATAAACAAATTTATCATGCTACATGTGCATTACACCCAAATCAAGAGGAGTCACCAAAGTATGCTGAACTGTACATTTTGGATATGGACCTTATCCTTGACCGCAATGATGAACTATCAAGAAAACGATGAATGCATTCGGGTCAAACAAGACGAACTGCCAAGGCACATCGGTAACTTCCGCTGTCGTTTTTTTTTTTCAGTGCCCCCAGAAATTTGGTATATTACAATTCATCCTGGACCACAGATCTAAAGACAGCAACAGCTGTGTGTCTCAGTTTAAATTGTATTCAGATCATTATGTAATTCGTGATGGAAAATTTAAACAACGCAGGTAAGTAGACTCAGCAAATTAGGGTTCATGCCTATTTCAAGACCGAGGCAAAGTATTTGAATCGGTTTCCAAAAAATAATAACACGATAAGAGCTTAAGAGCTATGGCGATTTACGAACAACTACAATTTAAAGAACGTTAACGTACTGCAGTGAAAGAACATTTTATAGGCTTTGAATAATTGGAAATGAAAACACCAAGAGTATTGATCTGCGAAAGACATCTTCGAAAATCCTCCATTCTGCATTGGACATGTATGTATAGTTTATGTTGTCTTGCCTGATGTCAATCCTATCAAGAGATGACAGCACTGCTAACTGTGCAATCCTGATTCAAACTCCTCCATTCTGCATTGGACATGTATGTATAGTTTATGTTGTCTTGCCTGATGTCAATCCTATCAAGAGATGACAGCATTGCTAACTGTGCAATCCTGATTCAAACTCCTCCATTCTACATTGGACATGTATGTATAGTTTATGTTGTCTTGCCTGATGTCAATCCTATCAAGAGATGACAGCACTGCTAACTGTGCAATCCTGATTCAAACTCCTCCATTCTGCATTGGACATGTATGTATAGTTTATGTTGTCTTGCCTGATGTCAATCCTATCAAGAGATGACAGCATTGCTAACTGTGCAATCCTGATTCAAACTCCTCCATTCTACATTGGACATGTATGTATAGTTTATGTTGTCTTGCCTGATGTCAATCCTATCAAGAGATGACAGCACTGCTAACTGTGCAATCCTGATTCAAACTCCTCCATTCTGCATTGGACATGTATGTATAGTTTATGTTGTCTTGCCTGATGTCAATCCTATCAAGAGATGACAGCACTGCTAACTGTGCAATCCTGATTCAAACTCCTCCATTCTACATTGGACATGTATGTATAGTTTATGTTGTCTTGCCTGATGTCAATCCTATCAAAAGATGACAGCACTGCTAAATGTGCAATCCTGATTCAAACTCCTCCATTCTACATTGGACATGTATGTATAGTTTATGTTGTCTTGCCTGATAAAAATCTCCGTAGATAAATGAAATCCGATTTGAAAAATGCCTTCTCATAGACTAAACTTGAAAGTTTTTGCAATTGTAATGTTGCTACAAAATCTTGGCTTAACAAAAATGTCTTTACTATTGCAACAAAATGATTGTCAAATAAATTTTGTCATAAGTCATTGACGTTGAAATCCTCAACGAATTTTTTTTTTAAAGTATCATGATATTTATTCCAAGAGTGTATCTTGCAACCCGTGATCCTGACCTTCTCTTTATATTAAGACGATACTAATTTCTATTGAGACTTTCTTTTGTTATGACCATCAACAAAAGCCAAAGACAAACATTGAATTAAGTTGGTATTTATTTGCCGTCTCCGGTATTTAGTCATGGAATCGTTATCGTGCATTTCAAGAAGAAGGATCTTTCAGCAAGTCAGACTAAAAGTCTTAGGATCTTAACAACAATGCAACTTAACGAAAGACCACATAATTTACACAAAAAATGTGGTCTACAAAGATGTTTTTTACAATGATTAAACTTGACACCAAGACCAATCTTTATCAATATGTGTCAACTAAAATTACTACAACCCGGGAGTATAACGAGTAATTTAGCTAGTTTTATATTTAGCAAACTGACGACTTTACTCTACCTAATGGCTCCGTGTTTTGGCGTAAAGTGTGACAAGAATAGTTTGTTCAGCTGAATCAAAAATGGTCTATAAAGATACAATCTAGATCATATATTGAGTAGCTTTTGGTAATAATGCGTCATCTAGGATTGATAATAAATTTAGCACACTAACAAGCTACACGTTTACCTAGGCTACAAGTTAACTTGGCTACACGTTAACATGGGATACAAGTTTACCTGGGCTACAAGTTAACTTGGCTACAAGTTTACCTGAGCCACACGTTTACCTGGCCTACAAGTTTACCTTGGTTACAAGTTAAAGGTGAAACCTTGTTTTAGTAATGTATTATTAATTGTTATTATTTGGTCTACCGCGAGCCATTGAAAATCCCCCTGTGCATCGTCCTCTGATGTAGGTATTTCCATGCTCACTGCCCAACCAGCCAGCGGTGGCAACGATTAGAGATGGGATCCGGTGACATACATTTTAGCAGGGTATCCGTATGTTCTGACTTCGTTTAGTTTTCTTTTTAGTCATTATTCAGTTATTTATTTTGCCAAAAGAAACCCCCACCCCCCCCCCCTGGGAGGGATTGTGGAGTTGGGTTGGGATTGGAGATTACAAACATATTTTTACGTACAGATTTTGGAGTGGGGGGGGTCCCCAAATATACAAGGGGGGGCAGGGGGAGAATGCAAACATATTTTCTCATACATAAATAATAAATGCTCTATAAAAGTTGCTTAATGTTAAAATTGTCTTTTGCTAGCCTCCTAGTGCCCCTGCATCAGGTTTGGGGAATCTTGTTTCTACCAAGGGCCCTTTGGATATTTTTTATGGCACTCGCGGATCATAGAACATCCATTTATTGCGCCCCCCCCCCAACCTTATGTATAATCCACCCATTACATAGAAAACATGAACTTTAAAAAAAATGATGCAAATTAATGCAATTAAATATTACTTCGCCATCAATTATTTTTCGTCATTAGAAATTATTTCAAGATTTACACCATGAGTATAAAAATAATTGGTTCCCTTAGCTATAAATTGCTATAAGATTTATATAAATTTGCTGCAAAACTTCAAGTACCATTCTAAATTTATTGTTCAACATAATTTACTTTAAAAAAATTATTTGAGTTATTTTCCGCGTAATGCAAACATTTTCGGAACTAGGTGTAACAATCTTTTGGGTAATTTACTTAAGGTGACTTTTAAAATGTTTAAAAGCCGCGCAGAGAGAAAATTGTGAATATTTTCTTCAACACATTGCAATGTCAAGGTTGAATTTGCTGCTGTATTTTTAGCTTGTGTTTAGACAGTATGAAAAATTAGCCTACTGTGAGCAATATGAGCAATTGGCCTATTGTGGAAAGCATAAACAAATAGCCTTCCGTGTGAAGTATGAACAATAGTTTGCCTACCGTAGGTGGCTTGAACAATTGAACTACCGTGTGAAGTATGAACAATAGTTTTCCTACCGTAGGCGGCATGAACAATTGACCTACAGATGTAATTTTTTTAACCTTTAGATCAGCAAATTTTTATGCACTTTCTATTTTCCTTTCCATGGCGTCCATGTGCAATAATTTTTTTCTATTTTGAAAGATCTTTGATGGCGCCCTAAGCACATGGCGCCCTAAGCTCATGGCGCCCCCTGCCCAAGTTGCCGGTAACGTGCGCAGGTCATGAAGATGATTGAAAGGTCAAACTATAATTTATTAATTTCATAACATTTGATGGAGAAATCAATAAATTTTGAGTGGAAATTATAATGATGAAGAGAAGGACAATACTAACTCTCCATTATATTTATGTCCTTTATCTCGTAGGTTCGGTGGATTTTTTTAAAATCTGGACAATATCTTTGTTAGCAGAAGATATTATGTCGACCCTATGACCAAACGTACGGATGTATATCGCTTCACATGTTCCTAATTGAAAAAAGGGTTTCAATTTAACACATAAAGGAAGACACCTTTACAATTAAACTACTTACGTCTACCGAACACTCTAGTTGAGTTTCCACATAGCGCAATGCATTAGCATTATTGGCAGATACACGGCCCAACTTTGTAACTCTTGTCTTGTTGTCGCCGCCGATGTGATGGATGCTCAAGAGATATGTGAAATTATTCCAAGCAAAAGAATACGTAAAGTCAATGGAAAATTTGGATCCTGATTCTGTTTTAAAGAAAGTTTGGTTCATTTCAGATAAACTGTTTCTGGCGTAGTTAACTATGAATTCATTGCCCTTAAAAGTAATGTTTCGTATTGACATCACCGTAACAGAGGGTGTAAGAGGGTTTGGGCTATACAAATCTCCTGCGACCAACAGTTGTACACCAAGAACATTCTGTCCAGGCTTTGTGTCCTTGTGTGTCGCGTGACTCCTGTTAGGGATGTGCATGGGTGAACCTGAAGCGTTAGGTTTAATATAACCAAAGTCATGGTATCTGCACGTCGCACGTTTGGTTGATTCATTTGGTAAGTTGAAAATATCAGCTTTCGCGGTTGGGAGTATTTTTATGACGCTGGCCCTGTTATTCACACTGGCCATAACTGCAGCGTCAGTGTCAAGGTCGCCAACAAGGCAGTACCAATCTGACATGTTATCCAGATTGTGTAAAGTACAGGTGCCGTTGTAAGCGGTCCCACAAACCAGCAACATTTGGAGTTGTTCAACAACTTCCAACACCTTGACCGTGTTGTTGCATGGGGCAGTCTGTGGAAGGCAGTCGTCTGCATCAGGTCCAGGTCCAATGGAAATTACAGAGAGGGAATCGTTTAAATTGGAGGAAAATTTGGCTATAAAATTATCTCCTCCAAGATAGAGGGTCCCAGATGAATCCCTGGTTAACTTTGTGATGTCTGCGTCAAGATCCCACTCTTTCTTTTGTTCACTTGAAACAACAGTCTGTCGTTGTAAGAACATGTAAACACATAGATAAAAGAACACCATTTTAATAAATTCATCCATGTCTTGATACGACAAGTTTGAACACGAAATAAGAACCACTAGATCATTACTTGACAACTGTCGCTCACACTGTCCATGTCATATCTATGCACTGTTAGTTTGTTTCAATGACAACTGACATGTGCTTGTAGATGTATTCAAGAGCAGCCTCACAACAGGAAGTTATTTAAACACCATCACGCTGAGCTCAAAGTGCAAACGTCATAATTGACATGGTATCATTTGCAAGTTTAAGTCACTGGGAAACAATTTTTCGACCAAATGTTTGTCGCCAAGCAATGACAATAAAAAACAACAACATGGATTTCATATTTTAATAATTTAAATCATATATTTATTATGTGACCCATAACCGTGGAAAGTTTTCTTAAAACATTTATTGACATATATATTCTCACAGAATACACCCCAACCATAATCATTGATTACGTTAAAATATGCATAACTAGTAATTTTGGTTTTGACTAAACTTTCAAATTGAAGTTAAAGACTTTACTCATCCAGAATTAATATGCAGAAAACGGTTTTCTTCTTAATAAACAATTTTAAATTCAGTTAAGTGGTGCGAAAAGTCAATCCAACAATAGGGAATTGAACTAAGCGGAAATTCTTTGTTCCCTATTTTTGGAATGCCTTTTTGCACCACATGACTAAATTTAAAGTTATATTCCTATAAACCTTCAATGGAGTTAACGAAATGTCTGTGTGTCTTTAGCTAAGTAAAGTAATGCCGTAAAACCACACAGTCCGCTTAAGTGGGATAATGCCGTAAAACCACACAGTCAGCTTAAGTAAAGTAATGCCGTAAAACCACACAGTCAGCTTAAGTGGGATAATGCCGTACAGCCACACAGTCCGCTTAAGTGGGATAATGCCGTACAGCCACACAGTCAGCTTAAGTAAGGTAATGCCGCAAAACCACACAATCAATTGGAAACAATGAAATAATCTTCAACGCAGAGATTTGAAGCGGGGCTATTGAGTAGGATCTTTTTGTCCGTAGCTGGAATTGAGCTGGAGTGGAGTTTGAGGGCAGATGGTGTGGAGCTTAAGTGGAGCTGGAGTTGAGCTGGAGTGAAGCTGGAGTGGTGATGGAGTGGAGATGTAGGGGAGCTTAAGCATTTACACCTATCCTGTTCACTCTTCTTCCAGCTATGATGCCCCTACTTTTTACAACTATGTTGCCTCAACCTTCTACAGTTATGATGCCCCCACTTTTTACAACTATGTTGCCTCAACCTTCTTCCAGTTATCATGTCCCCACATTTTACAACTATGTTGCCTCAACCTTCTACATCTATGATGCCCCCACATTTTACAACTATGTTGCCTCAACCTTCTACAGCTATGATGCCCCCACATTTTACAACTATGTTGCCTCAACCTTCTACAGCTATGATGCCCCCACTTTTTACAACTATGTTGCCTCAACCTTCTACAGCTATGATGCCCCCACATTTTACAATTATGTTGCCTCAACCTTCTACAGCTATGATGCCCCCACATTTTACAACTATGTTGCCTCAACCTTCTACAGCTACGATGCTCCACTCTATTAAAACTAGGCAGCTTGACTCTTTCACAGCCAAATTGCTTGACTCTTCTACAGCTTTGCTGCTTGTACATACATATCTATACATTTCATAATAACTATAAAAAGCCACAAAAAGCCTGCTCCAAATCCCTGCTCCAAATCTCTGCTCCGAATCTCTGCTCCGAATCTCTGCTCTAAAGTCAAAAGAATATCTCTTTGTTTCAATGAAACATTCCTTGTGAAAGCGGATACGTCTTTTACGATTTAGTTTAATAACTATTGACCAATGTACACAACTGTCACATGTGTTAGTCATGGGAGAAGGGAAGGAAGAATGAGTAGGACTGAATCTTCACAACAATCAAGTCTTTCGGAGACGTCAGTGTCAATACACCAGCAGAATACAACGTGTTACACGCCGACTAAGCTGGAGGCATCAAATGGTTGACAATTAGAAGTAGGCGGCATGTTTAAGTTGTAGTTGCACTTTTGCTGCAAGAGGACGAGCTGAGCGTTAATATTCTTAAATGGGTTCGGAAGAGAATTTTCTCGTCTGCGTGGTCGATACAGACGGGTTTGACCTTCATTACAGACCAGCACACGCTGCTTAGATCAATGTTTCTTGAACTGTATCCATTCTTGGCGCCTTTGCCGAGTCCATGTTTTCTCAACGTGCCTTGTGTCAACTTCTAACAGTCACAATGTTTGAACGATTAGAAGATTATTTTATTGGACGGTTGGGTTGAAGGTGGGGAGTTTATTTATTTTCCGAATTAGGTTAAATGTTTTTACTTAATGTGTTTTGAAAGGAGAAACGATATTAGATAGGATATCTTTTGAATAGTTTATAAATTTGAAAGGACATCTTTTTCAATAGTTTCAATGATTTTAGAAAGGACTTCTTTTTAAATAGTTTAATGGAGTTGGAAAACACATCTTTTCAAATAGTGTAATAATTTATTTTTTTTTTTTTAAATATTTAAAAATCTTTAAATAAGATTAAAGGGACATCTTCTTAAATTGTTTAATGATGTCAAAAAGTAAATTATTTACATAACTTCAATGATTTTGGACAGGACATCCTTTTCAAAATGATATTAGAAAGGAAACTTTTTCAAAAGTTAAATGATCTTAAGAAGGAAAACAATTTTTTTTAAAAAGTTATATGATGTTAGACAGGGCATATTTTAAACAATGTTGACACGGTTGCCATTTTTTCTTTATTTGCATAACATTATATTTTAAATGTATGGGAAATTATTTCCCTATAAAGCTGAATCTTGAAGACTCAAATTTTAAAAATATATTTTTTTAACGGCAGCATGAGGCCCTTATTTTTTAAAAAGCTTTTTTTTACTGAGGAAAGTCTTGAGGATCATGGTGGACAATAAACCTATTAAACTTTTTTTTTTTTTAAATTATTGTTTACAATTTTTTTATTTGTGAGGTGAGGGTGATAAAATTGTGTTTGGAACCGCTGGTTTAGAAAAGTAAAATACGGTGTTTTTTTTTTTTCAAATTTCAAATCAACATCTATTAACAATTGTAGGGGCTTCTGCAAGCAGATGATAAAAAATGAATTACGTTCTGACAGGAAATTAACGAAACAAAATAAAAAGATGAACATTTTTTTTTTTTTTTTTTTTTTTAAATTATTGTTTACAATTTTTTTATTTGTGATGTGAGGGTGATAAAATTGTGTTTGGAACTGTTGGTTTAGAAAAGTAAAATACGGTGTTTTTTTTTTTTCAGATTTCAAATCAACATCTAGTAACAATTGTAGCGGCTTCTGCAAGCAGATGATAAGAAATGAGTTACGTTCTGACATGAAATTAACGATACAAAATAAAAGTATGAACATTTTTTTTTACTGATTCGTGATGCCCGGTATGAAACTCGGCTGCTCACCAGGACACAGATCGCATAGTCTGGGACCTACTGCACTAAACAGCACAAGATAACACACAGAAGAACATTCAAATGATAAAACTCTATTTTTACAAAGAATAAATTGAAACAATTTTTGGAGAAAAAATATATGAAAATGCCACACGTAAAACTACACAATATACATCTACCACATGTACAAACTGACATGTACATCTACCACATGTACAGACATTTACATCTTCCACATGTACAAACTGACATGTACATCTAACACATGTACAGACATGTACATCTACCACATGTACAAACTGACATGTACATCTAACACATGTACAGACATTTACATCTTCCACATGTACAAACTGACATGTACATCTACCACATGTACAGACATTTACATCTTCCACATGTACAAACTGACATGTACATCTAACACATGTACAGACCTGTACATCTACCACATGTACAAACTGACATGTACATCTAACACATGTACAGACATGTACATCTACCACATGTACAAACTGACATGTACATCTAACACATGTACAGACATGTACATCTACCACATGTACAAACTGACATGTACATCTAACACATGTACAAACTGACATGTACATCTACCACATGCACAAACTGACATGTACATCTAACACATGTACAAACTGACATGTACATCAAACACATGTACAAACTGACATGTACATCTACCCCATGTACAAACTGACATGTACATATATCCCAATTACAAACTGACATGTACATCTATCACATGTACAAACTGGCATGTACGTCTACCACATGTACAGACTGACATGTACGTCTACCACATGTACAGACTGACATGTACATCTACCACATGTACAAACTGACATGTACATCTACAACATTTACAAACTGACATGTACATCTATCACATGTACAAACTGGCATGTACGTCTACCACATGTACAGACTGACATGTACGTCTACCACATGTACAGACTGACATGTACATCTACCACATGTACAAACTGACATGTACATCTACAACATTTACAAACTGACATGTACATCTATCACATGTACAAACTGGCATGTACGTCTACCACATGTACAGACTGACATGTACATCTACCACATGTACAAACTGACATGTACATCTACCACATGTACAAACTGACATTTACATCTACCACATGTACAAACTGGCACGTAAATCTAACACACGTAGACAATTACATGTAATCTACCACACACAAAAAGCTACATGTACATCTACCAGAAGTAGATAATTACATGTACATTTGCCGCATGTAGATAGTTACGCGTATATCCACGACACGTTGACAATTACATGTACATCTACCACAAGTAGACAATTGCATGTACATCTATCACAAGTAGACAATTGCATGTACATCTATCACACGTACACAATATTAATCTAAGAAACATACACTGTCCATCTTCCACACTTACACACTGTCCATGTTCCACAGGTACACACTGTCCATCTTCCACGCGTACACACTGTCCATCTTCGACACGTACACACTGTCCATCTTCCACACGTAAACACTTTCCATCTTCGTCGCGTACACACTGTCCATCTTCCACGCGTACACACTGTCCATCTTCCACACGTACACACTTTCCATCTTCCACACGTTACACACTGTCCATCTTCCACGC